TTAAAAAAAATAGTTTTGGCAGAACTTCTGTCTCATGCAAGTTTATTTGTATTGCAAGGAAGAAAAAATAAATTATCATTGAAATTATAACAACCTTTGTGAAAGTTCTACTGTAATATCAAGAATATGTTTTCAGAATAAAGGCATTTTTTGTTTTTGTTTTATGTCCGTTGTGTGATTTTACTTTTGCGTCTTACTTTTGACACGTTTCATGCTTGAATGTGACACACCCATACTAAACCTAGTTACTAATTATAAATCTGCCTTTTGACATCAAATACTAAAACACCCCTGTTTCAGTATTTGAATTCTTCCATTACATTAAATGCTAAAGATGAAACAAACTTTGTGCAATAATATTTTCTCTCTGTTTCTCCCAGATCCTGCTTTTCATCGAGACTGTCCTCTTGACTGCAAGGTTTATGTGGGAAATCTAGGAAACAATGGGAATAAGACAGAATTAGAACGAGCTTTTGGATATTACGGCCCTTTAAGAAGTGTTTGGGTGGCCAGGAATCCTCCAGGTTTTGCTTTTGTAGAGTTTGAAGATCCTAGAGATGCGTCTGATGCTGTAAGAGAACTGGATGGCAGGTAATGTCCATTGTTGTGAATGCTACTCCCTGTGGGAAAAACATGAAGCCAAAGTGTTAGTAAAACACCAATAATTTTTTAACCTGTTTTGAATATTGAATCCCTTTCAATCCATGAATTATACAAACAGAAAATGTATCTACCATCATTATGGCAAGAAAAATATTGCTAAACATCCTTTTTAATGTCTAGTCAAGAATCTCCTAGATTTAAATAGATAAAGAAATGTGTGCTAACTCATTCTGTGCAGAACCATGTGTGGCTGCCGTGTGCGTGTTGAGCTGTCAACTGGGGAGAAGCGCTCAAGGAGCCGCGGTCCTCCTCCTTCGTGGAGCAGACGTCCCCGAGATGATTTTAGGAGACGTAGTCCTCCAGTCAGACGCAGGTATGCATATTAATTTAAACCTTTTATTTTTCTTTCTTTTTTTTCATTTTCACATCTTAAATAAAAACTTGGCTCACCTCAATTCCTTTGGGAGAACCAGTTTAAAACTCCTAAATCTTGGTTTTGGAAACAATTATCCCATAAAATGTGACTCACCTCAAGGTTAATTGTTTAAAAAAGGAAAAAAAAACTTAGTCCTCAAGATTACATTATTAACACAAAACAAGGCCTAGCATTTCGATGAGCATAAAGGCTATGGTAATTTGTCATAAGTCTGTGGCCATTTTCACAAGTATTTTTTTTTTTATTCATTTAAAAGTGTAATAAAACCTACAAAGAGGCTTTGAATCCATATTGGCTCTGAAGAAGAGGGTTTGCTCAGTGTTGTTCATTTTGACTGTCTAATGCAGGTTGAGCCTTTTTCCTTAGAGGCTGTATGGAAACAGGTCTTTATCTAATGTATTTAGTGCCTTGCAAAAGAACTCAAACCTATTGAACGTTTTTCACATTCATGCAACAGTCCATGTTTTCTTTTTTTGGGGCGTGGGAGAGTGGGTTTTTATTTTTAGGGTAGATAGTGGCTTTCCATAGTTTTGTGGAAGTGGCTGCAGTTCAGTCAGATTGTGGATGCAGATCTTTTTGTAGAAGGAAAATTTCAAGTCTTAGGACCCAATTGAATTTAGGTCTTTGCTTTGACTCAAATCTAAAATTCTGCCACCACCTTAGTTGTGCTGTGTTGGCCTTTTACTGCGCTGTAGGACATAAAGTTTGGTTTTGATATTGTCTGACCAGAGGACCTGTTTGTTTGATATGTTAAACAGAACCATTTGACTCAAACTACAAACTGGATTTCTTAAACAGGTTTAGAAGTTTTTGTCGCTCTGACTACAACTTCTATGCCTCTTGCTTCCAGTCATATTCAAAACTGAAGAATCCTTTTGGTTTAGAGGGGAAAAGTCTCCAGGAAACAACAGAAGTCCCTTTGTTTTTTCTTAAGTATTTAGGATGGTCATGTCATAACTGAGAATCTTCACCAGCATAGTTAGAGTATGTGAATACCTTTGCAACTAGATGTTGAAAGGTATTTAACCTTTTCACAGGTTAAATATCTGAGGTTGCTCTGTTGCAACCTCTCCTGGTTGCATCAAAGCTTTCTTCTCAACACTTTAATCACTCAGGTTTTCACTTTTAAATGTTTTGTGATCATGGCCATGTTTACAGATTTATTGCACAGATTCTGAATCACTTTTGCTCAAAAATCAAAATTTGAAAGCAGTTTTTATGAGTGGACAATTTTCATTGAAGTTCAGTAAGTATTATTGAGGTGTCTGGTTGACCATTTTTACTGTATGGGGTGTTTTATTACTTTATCAAACTTTTTTTTTTAATCCATAATTTTAAAATAAGTTTCTGAAGGTGTAATTTCTTTTATTTTTTTTCTGAGTTCAGTTTCCATTTATTAATAAAACTGAACCCCATTGCAGAGCCACCACCACGCTTCTCACCATCTGAGTCAGGCAACTAGTCTTCTTTCAGCATCATGTGACGGCTGACCAGCGAGCCTGGTGTTGTCACATGACCCAGGCGCCACCGCCAGCCATCAGGTCCCACCAACCTTTTGGTTCCTGAGCATGCAGTTCCCAGCATCCTTCTCTACTTCCTCCGACTTTTATCCAATCAACAGCGGTCTGCTTCAAATTATCAACCAATCAGCGTCTTTACACTTTCTAGTCTCCACACATCTGCTGTATCAACGGGAACAGCCGTTGGGTTACATCAGTCTCTAATCTTCAACCCCACTCCCCCCCCAAAATAAAGCAGGAAAAATCTACAACTACTCCCCGCCCCCTTCCAACCAGCCACCAAGCAACTTCATATCTGCAACATTTGCATCATGTGGCAATTCCTGTCTGCAATTCGACCTCCCTCACCATCAGTCTGGCTTCCTTGCTTCATTTCTATCTTGTCCAAACCCCCCAAAATAGTAAGTTGCTTTTATCCTGCTCTTTGTAGTTTTTTTTTTTTTTTTTTTTTTTATAAATTCTTTTTAATCTAGCTTTTAAAACTGGTTGACAATTATGTTTCATGAGTTGTATTCTGTAGAGGAAACTCAGTGGAAAGCTTAAAGCGCAACTGGCTGGACCAAAAGTCTTTAAACTTTCTCTTGCAAAAATTGCTGGGTGTATGTTAAAGGCTCGACATCAAGGCATCTTGAGTTGGATCTGCTTTGCTAAACTTTGAAGCCTTTTACACTTGATATTTTATTCGTTTCAGCCTCATAACCTTTGCACACACATTAATATTTCAATCCGAAAGTCCACTAATGACAAACCTGTTTACCAAAAGCAAGCCTTTATTTCGAGCCCTGAAATCTGACTCCATCATTGGATTGAATGAGCTGGTCTTGCTGCAGTTCATGAATGCAGCTTATCTTCTTAACAAGCGAAGAGTAACATGTAATCACATTTCTATATATACCATGGCTCTCAGGGAGCCATTAACCAAAGGGTTCATTATTGACATGAAACATAGTTACTCTTCCCTAACTTGGTTTCAATATTTTCAATAATGCACACCTTAGATCACCGAAGAGGAGGAGCTTGAGCCGCAGTCGTAGCAGGTAAGATTAAGAATCATTGCATTTCAAATTGCAGTACTTATCTGTGGTGAATGACAATTTCTTTTTATTTTTTCACTTTACTTTCAGGTCTCTGTCAAGAGACAGACGCAGATATCGGTCTTTGTCCAGAGATAAGACTCGTAAGCGTTCACGATCCTTCTCCCGATCAAGGAGGTAGGGCCCATGCCAAAACATCAAATTTATATTGAACCTAAGCTTCTTATTATAAATGCAAATTGTTTACCGGTTGATTTGTGTTACAGTCGTTCCAGGTCTCACGAAAGGAAGTGAAGATCCTGGATTGCTCTTCAAGCTCATACAAAGCTTGTGAAGAGGAACGTTTTTATAGTGCCACTTTTATTTTAGATTTTGTTTGAAACTTTAAAGCACCCTGTGCTGCTTGCCATCTTGTGGCTCGTTCTACCCGTTAAAAGTACAACAAAGGACAGGATGTTTCTCATTTTGTCAGCTGTCAAGACATTTTTTTTTATTTTCTTTTTTAGTTCTCTTTTTTTGGAGGGTATAAATATTCACATGGAAGAATTTGTCTCGTCCTGCATGTTTTGAAACTAAATACTGCCTTTAGTTTAGCAGAAAACATTTTGTGATTTTTGTTTTATTCATGGCTGTTTCTACTTTTATGGAGTCACTGTGAGATGCAGGGACTTAACAGATACTGGTGCTGTTATTAGGAAGATGTCCCTTAAAAACAACCTGTAATTCTGTATTTTACCGACTGTATGTTCGTCACAAAAGACGGTATTTACTCTGATTATCTTGACTCTCAACTCCAACAATTTGTGACAATGCAGTTAAACAACTTGTTCAATAAATGTTTTTTTTCCAAGTTGGCATGTCAGTTAATTTTTTATATATATAAATCAGTTTAAAATGAAGATGGAAAAAATATACTTTATTCATGCAGGAAGTTAACTGTCAATGATTAAGATGGCAAGTATAGCCCACACAGGAAGCTGTCAAACAGCTTTAGTTAGGAAACACTCCCCTGAAGAGTGAAGTGCTGCTCCTATTGAGCAGAGCAGATGAGTCGACTTTACGAGTTAGTTTGATATGAGTCGACAGATGTGCTAGATTTTGGAGGTAAGAAAAGTAATTTTGTTTTTAAATGGTCACAAATTAACTAAATGTCAATTGCTAGACTTGTTCACTTGATTGTTGCTGCTGTTTGTGTGCTCTCGGTGCTTTGTATAAGCTTTTTGTTTATTGAATTTGCCAAGTTTCTGAACTTCACCTGGTATATTTTCAAGAAACAATCGCTTCATAAGTTTTCTCTGCTTGTGTATACTTGTATAGCATGATTTCCTTAATGCGTCGCACAACCTTTTCTGCTTCAGGCACTTTTTTTTTTTTTTTTAAAGTGAGGTAAATTCAGACCAACAAGGGAGATAAAATATTTTATATTGAGTGTCAAAGACTGAATGTTTGTAGCTTAAAATCAGGTCCTAGAAAATTGTCAAATCAATAACTGTGTTCTCTAACACTGACAGTTTAAAAGCTGAAACACAGCATCCAGCAACACGTGAAATCAGAATGAACAGAAGAAAGTTGGCGACTAGTCGAAGAAGTAAAGGGAATCAGCGTGTAAATGAAAAAACACAGCCAGATGTTGAATCTAGAGAGAGTGTTCAGGATGAGGCCAGGGGTAATGAACATCCAGAAACACATGCGTCTGCAACAAAGCAGCCTAAAGTGCAGGAAGAAGTAGCTCAAGAGAGTGAGCGTGACATGACTGCGCCACAAGCTGCCTTCTTGGTCTCTGCCGCTACAGATGAGTACTCTGAAGATAAAACTGGCATATCATGCCCAGAAGAAGTCCAACACATTTCAGACTCCAAAGAAGTCAGTATGCAACTTTTTAAAGATGAGACCAAGCTGGAAGTCATTGAGAGTAGCAACACTCTTCAAAGTGAGGAAGTCAATGAAAATCTGCATGACCGTCTCCCTGAGCTAACCAGTGTAAGTGATTCTGCATCAGATCAACAGATGATCAGCAAACAGGCAGAAGATTTTAATCTGTGTTCTGTGGCTGAATTAAACAGCAGCAAACTAGATGACTCAGGCTTGTTCAGACAAGATGGGCGTTCACAGGGCAACTTTTCAGCATGTGAGTCACGTGTTAATACATCTATCACGCCTCAGATTACTGCAGATAACGCCTTCAGAGAAAACGTCAAAATTAATGATGGTGTCAAACAAGAAACATTTTTATTTCAAACAGAGGAGTTGCCTGCAAGTAAAGATGATAAACACTGTACACCTAAAGTCAGAGATGCCAAGCTTTCACAGGAGGTTGAAGACAAACAGTTGACACAAGAGCAAGTCGAGCATGAAAAGGGTAACGCCACTGAAGATCTACTGTATGACCACAAAGATTACAGTGCTTACTTTGAAAACCAGAAATCTGAATCTGATAGTTACCAAAGTTTGTTTCTGGTGAAAAGCACTGCAGTCAAACAGGATGTTTTGAATGCATCAAAAGAAACTTCTTTGGACCAGATGGATCAGAGTGGCAGTCTTGTGGAGGATAAAACACAAACTCTTCCATCAGTCTTTAAGGCTGCTACAGAGACTCGGCTTCACAACAGCTCTCTGACCACGGATGACCATACCAAGGCGGCCTTCAGCTCTGGTGCTACTAAAAGAAAATTCGGTTCTAGTCGTAAAAATAAAGGAAGACACGTTAAAGACTCTGAAGAGGACATTTTAGAAAATACTCTGAACAATGAATCTCTTGAAACACCAACTGTATTGTCAGAAATACAGGAGAGAGGGAATGAAGTAGTGAGTGATGTCACTACTGCTGACACAATCTTGTCTCTTTCAAATAGAGGCTCAGTCTGTTTGCTACCACCACATGATCTTTCTTCTGAATATCCTGAGCCAGACACATGTAGTTTGATATTAACAAGTGAAAGTCTTGAAAAAGGTCAAGACAAAATAAATTCTTTAAATAATTTGGATGAAATGTCTGAAAACTGTCATGTATCCCAGCATGAGGTGGATCACTCTGACATTCTTCACAGTGAGGAGCCCATAGATTCTCTTTCAGAGGATGATCCAACAAATCTGCAAGAAATCCTGCAAATTCAACAGTCATCTGAAATTATTCTAGGTTATGTTGCAGAACATTTTGAAAGCATTTCTGAAAACCTGAATGACCGACCTGAAATGTCTGAGTCTGCTGGGAAAAGCACTGATAATGTTACCACCAAACAGCAAGAGCATCAAACAGAGAAAAACATCTTGGAATATACGCACAGAGTAGAACAGAAAAATGAAAGTTATGATTTATGTGATGCAAATTCTTCACAAATCAGTAACTTGGAAAAGTCAAACTCTACTCCTACTCAGGTTTATGAGTCTACAATAGGAGTAGAGGATGATATAAAACTTGCTGCAGACCAAATGTATCACCAGGAGAAAGGACTCTATGAAATAGGAGAGGAAAACCCTGTTTTGTTTGACTCACAGCCTCAAGAAACCTCTGGGATTGTAGATGAGCAATCCAACAGAGAGAAACTGAGATCTGGCCATAAAAGTGGGGGAAAACAAGATAAAGACTCTAAAGAAGAGGTTAAAGAAAAGACCAGTGATGAAGAAACCACACAGATTTTAGATACTGAGATAAGTAGCCAAGAAGAACTGAAGCTAGACATTTGGCCAGTGTCATATGACAGCCCAATTCTTTCAGTCTTAGCTTCTGGCCATTCCTTAGAGGATCCAGAGAGTTTGATTCCAGGAAGTGTAAATATTCCAGAAAGTCAGGAAAACTCAGAAACAGACATCAATATGGATTTATCTGATAAATCATGGGGAGAGACTTTGGGGCGTCATTCTGACACTCATAAGAGTAAATCAGGGAGTCTTCAGACTAAGGAAGTCCCTGATTCAGATGTTGATATGAGAAAAGGTCAAGAACCTGTGGCACTACAAGAATCAGAACCTCAGCAAATAGATTACACTGTTGCTGGTCAGGTGGAGAAAGCTGGAGTCTTTGTGGAAAATACCAAACACGATCCTTCTGACCCTGAACTTCAGGACATTTCTCTGAGCACAAATGAACGAACTGACCCTGGCTTCAGCGGGAGCAGAAGAAAACTGGGGTCAAGCCGGAAAGAAAAAGGAAGACAACAGGGTGAAATACCTAGACAGGAAGTTTTAGAAAGTACAAGAGATGATGAAATACACGAGAGACCAACAATGTTAATGCAGGAAGAAATAACTGCAGACGGTGAACCCAGGACTACCACTTCAGTTTCAAATAACTCATCGTTTCCAAATTCTCCAATTGATCAATCTTTTGAGGAGCTGAGCTGTGTGCCAACAAAATACTCTCCAACTGATATGGAGGATATAAGTTTGAACAGTGAAAATTTTCTGAAAAATCAAAATGAAAGCAAGCTAGACACTGAAAATGCAATGGATGTCTCTCGGCGAGCCATGGGTGAATTTGAGAACAATTTAGATGCTGTTGCAGGACATAAAGAAATGGATGATGAACATTCAGATGATACTGTAAAACAAGATCAGGAAAATGAGGACCCATTAAAAGACTTAGAAGGAAATCTGGAATTGGATTACAAATCTGAGATCGTGGCACATGATATTCCTAAATATCCAGAAACAGTTTTGGGAGGCTTGATTGACCAAGCTAAAGTCACCAGCAATATTCATTCAGAGCTCACTGTGAAAAGTACAGAGGATTCTGCTACCAAACACGAACTTATGCTTATTGAAGATCAACAAAACACGTGTTTCATAGCAGAAGGAAATGTGGAGGCTTTAGATCAGACAAATCAGGATGGCCACCTCTATGATTCAAAGAAAACTTTGATCAGCAGTCTACTTGGAATAACCACTAACCTTGGTCAGATGAATACAGGAGGCAGTGAACCCAACCCTACTGACACTGATCTTCAGGACACTTCTCTGACCACAAATGAGCAAATTGATGCTGACTTTAGCTTCAAAGGGAACAAAAGAAAACTTGGTTCTAGTCGTAGAAAAAAAGGAAGACAAGATGTTAAAGAATCCAAACAGGAAGTTTCAGAAAATAATGGAGGAGGAAAAGCCACTGATACATCACCAGTGTTGTTGAAAGTAAAGATGCCTGAGCAGGAAGAACTAAGTAAAGCCAGTGAGGAGGAAATGTTTTGGTCACATAGCACCTCCATGTCACATGTTCTTTCTTCTGAGGATCAAACCTCTGAGGTAACAGAAGGGCCCGGCAAAAACTTGGAAGGTTTCATTATCAAATGTGAAAATCATCAAGAGGATGTAGATAAAAGACATTTTAATGTTTTGGTTCAAGATGGGAAACAATCAGAGGATTTATCATCGAGTCAATATAAAGCTGAAGATACTAGAGATGCTGGTTTAGAGGACATTATGGTGGGACACCCAGAAGAAGTTCATTCAATAACAATGCAAGAGAGTCTTCAAATGGGATATTATTCTGAAACTTCAACTAATATTCATAAATCATTTGGCATTATGTCTGAAAACCTGACTGAACAAAATGAAAGGTCTCAGTTTACAGTAAAAGGTAATGATGATATGACAGAAAAACTGGAAGAATGTCCTATAGAAGAAATGATCTCAGAGACTCTAGATCTGAAAAGTGGAGAAATAGAACAGGATGACACAAAACCCAATGTTGATCAAATATCTCACCAGGAGAAGGGAGGAATGTTCTGTGAAATGGAGGAAAACAAACCTGTTTTGTCAAACTTTCAAATCGAAACAATTTCTTTGGATCCCAAGCTTCAGGAATCGTCTGAGAGCACAGAAGAGCAAATTAACACAGACTTCTCCAGCAGTGCCAGCAGACGAAAATTGGGATCCAGTCGTAAAGGTAAAGCAAGAAGACAAGTTAACGAATTTAAAGATGAGGTCAATGAAAAGACCACTGTAGATGAAGTAGATGAAACCCACAGAACAACACAGATCTCATTAGATACAGAGGCAATCAGCCATGAAGAAAAAAGTCAAGACATGGAGCAGGATGCAACCTTATTGGTTTCTAATGACAACTCATTTTCAATGTTTGCTTGTTGTGATTCATCTGAAGTTCAAGACCCAATACAAAAGAACCATCCTGAGGTTGAACTGGACAGTTTAATTCAAGGAATTGTAAATTGTCCAGAGAATCAAAAGCAGAGTAAAGACAAGACGCTTCAGAATGAAGAAGTCATGAGCCCTGAACATTCAGATAATGCTGTAGTAAAAGCTCATGAACATGGCAACACACCAACAGACATAGAAAGAAGTCTGCAAATGGATTCACCATCTGAAACTGTGACACCTGATGTTCACACTCACAGCTCAATGTTTGCTCCTGGGCATTCATCTGAATTTCAAAGCTCTATGGGAAACAACCATCCTGAGGCTGATCTGAAAAGCTTAATTCAAAAAAGTAAGCCAGGTGATCATGATGGATTGGATTTATCTGATAATTCTGAGGAAGTTTCTTTATTGGATAAATCTGACTTTCTGCAGTGTAAAGACAGGGCTCTTCAGAATAAAGTAATTGGTGGTGAGCTTTCAGATAAGGCTGCAAAACTTACTCAGGAAAATGAGGATCTTCCAACAAACACAGAAGGAAATCTGGAAATGGATTACACACCTGTGGCACATGGTGTTCCTAAATATCCAGAAACTGCTTTGAAAGGAGTGACTGACCAAGCTGAAATCAGCAGTAAAATTCATTCAGAGCTCACATTGAAACATACAGCGGATTCTGGTACAGAACAGGAACTAGTACCTGCTGAAGTCCAACAAAACTTGTGTTCCACAACTGAAAGAAATCCAGAGGCTTTAAATCAGACAAGTAAGGATGACCACCTGTATGACTCAAATGAAACATCAATTAGTGGCCCAATTGGAGTAAACACCACCCTTGGTTACACGGATGAAGGTGGGACCCTTGAAGAAGGTAGTGAACTCAGCTATAATGTTCAGGACAGTTCTGTCAGCACAAATGAAACAACAAATGATGGCTTCAGCTTCAATGAGCACAGAAGAAAACTGGGGTCCAGTCGTAGAAACAAGGGAAGACCAGGTTTCCAAGAATCCAAGCAGGAAATTTTTGAAAATCACAGAAGCGATGAAACTCCCCAGCCCTCAACAATATCAGTAGAAACAAGGGGATCAGAGCTTGAAGAGCTGAGTGAAGATATTGAACATAAAATTATCCTGTCTCTTTCAAAAGACTTGTCTTCGGTATCACCACACGTTCTTTCTTCTGAGAATCAGATCTCTGTGTTAAAAAATGACCCTGATACAAACCCGCAGATTTTAATCCTTAAAAATGAACATTTTGTAGACAAAGGTGAAAGAAAGTTGGAGACAGAAGTTGAAATGATCGAGAAATCAATGAATGTTCCACATCAAGAGGAGGGTCAGTGTGACACAGTTCACAGCGAAGACACCAGAGATGCTGAACCAGAGGATGCTCTTAGGGAAGTGGAGAAAATCGAGTTTCACCCAACACAGATGCAAGATAGTTTTCACACTGAATATTCTGAAACTGTTGTTGGTGATGTTTCAGAAAATGAGGAAGTTATCCCCGAAAACCTGTCTGATCAAACTGGAATGTCTGAGCTCACTGTGAAAGCAACTAACGATTCTGCAACAAAAGAGGAAGCAAATTCTGCAAAGAAAACTTACACAGAGAACTTAGATGTGAAAAATGAAGATTCTGGAGTGTTTGATAGCAATAAACCACATGTCATTGACTTAGAAAAAACAAACTCTGTTCCATATGAGATGAGTGAGTTCGAAGGGAGAGTATCTGATGATACAAAACCTAATCCTGGTTTTGTAGTTAATCCTGGAAAGGAAGGACTTTGTGAAATGAAAGAGAACCGCTCTGCTCAAACAGATATGGTTTCTTTTGACTCCCAGTCTCATGAATCTTCTCAGAATGTTGATGAACAATTGAACAAGGGCATTTATAACGCTAGCAACAGACAAAAACTGGGTTCCAGTCGAAAAATTAAAGAAAGACACCAAGATAAAGAGTCTAGAGAAGAGGATAAAGGAAATACATGGGGGGATGAAAACCTGAGCATATCTGAAACAAAAATGGCATGTGAGGAATTAGAGCAAGACCTTTTGTCACCTGACAGCTCAGGGGTTGCTCCTGGCAATTCATCTGATGTTAAAAGCTCACTGTTAAACAACTACTCTGAAACTGACTTAAAGAGTTTAATTCAAGAAAGCCACTCAGAAGTTCAAGATGAATCAGAAACAGGTAATGTTAAGTTATCTCATAAATCAGAAGAAGACACTTTATTGGATAAATCTGATGTACAAGAAAGCAATGATCAGACTCTTCAGAGTAAAGTTGCGGGTCCAGGATGTTCAGATGATGTTGAAAAACAAGCTGAGGAACATGAGAACTTGCCAGCAGACATAGAAGTATGTCTGCAAAAGGATTACACATCTGAAACTGTTGCACATGATATTTTCACATATCCAGAGAGTGAATTGGGAAATACGATTGACCAAGCTGAAATCATCAACCATGGCCAGTCAGATCTCACCACAGAGAATTATGCTTATTCTAATACCAAAGAGAAACTTCTACCTGCTGAAGGGCAACAAAACCTGTGTTTCACAACACAAGGAAATTTGGAGGCTTTAGATCAGACAAGTAAGGATGAGCACATTTTTGATTCAAAGGAAACATCGATCAGCAGCCTAGTCAACAGTACTCTGAGCCAGATTCTTGTGGAGAGTACTATGCAAAATCCTAAAGAGACCAAATATCAGGATAATTCTCTGACCACAGATGAGCAAACTGATGCTGGCTTACATGGGAACAGAAGAAAGCTGGGGTCCAGCCGGAGAAAAAAGGGAAGACAACAGGGTAAAGAATCTCAAGAGGAAGTTTTGGAAAATACAAGCTGTGATAAAACTTTTGAAATGCCTATAATGTCACTAGAAACTACGACAGTAGAGCAAGAACAGAGAGAAGAAACTAAGCATGAAATTATCTTGTCTGTTTCACATGACAGCTCCATGTCTTTAATTCACCCAGTTATTTCTTATGATCAGAGCACCTCAGTGCCAACAAATCATCCTGATGAAGATGTGCAAAGTTTAACTCTGGACAATGAAAATCTTCATGAAGATGCAGATGACAGAAAATCTGATGTTTCGGCTTCAGATGAGGCAAAACAAAATGTTTTTCATGGAGACCCCAGAAATGCTGTTTCAGAAAATGTGCATGAAGAAGTTCATTCAATACAAATTCAAGACAGTGTGCAAACTGATTCAGATAAAACGTTTGCAGATGATGCTACAGAGAATGTTGACATTCTTTCCAGAGCTGTTACTGATAAAAATGAAGAATCTGAGATCAACGTGAACCGTATTAATAATATTCCATCAACACAGGAAGCCTGCCCTTCAAAAGAACTCATCTCAGCAGCTCCAGTTGTGAAAAATGAAGAAACAATCCAGCAGGACGTACAACCCAACACTGATCATATAGTTAATCAGAACAATGAGGGACTCGTCCTTCAAATGGAGGAAAACAAATTTGCTATGTCAAACTTGCAGTCAGAAAATGTTTCATCAGGTTCCCATCTTCTGGAGTCCTCTGAGCATGGAGAAGAACAGACAAAAAAGGATTTCCACAGCAGAAGAAAACTAGGATCCAGTCGTAGAAATAAAGGCAGGGGTAATGCAAAAGATATAGGTCAACCTATAACAGAGGTTGACTTCAATGCAAGTATGAATGAACTTGGTGAAAAAACAACAGAGGCAGTAGCACAGGACCAGGAAGCTTTAATGGGAATTGTGTTGGATAAAACAGAAAGTGACTCTTCTCAGACCAACGATGCAAATATAAGCACTTCTTTTTGCATGGCTGCAGGCATGCAGCTATCACCCATTGTTGATCAAGAGGACAGTGACACATCATGTTGCATGCAGATTACAGATAGGGAACTACTCAAACACCACAGCAGAGATCATGATGAATACAGAGAGCTGCAGGATGGAAATTTACAGGAAAGCACATCATTGCCTGAACCACATGCAGGTCCTCCCCCAGCCGAATTGCATGCAGAACTGAACAGCAGCTGTGAACATACAGAACCCGAAAGTGGGGATGGGGATACTTTCAAGAAAGCTTTTGAACAGGAGACCGAGCCTGAACAGAACCAAACAATGCTTGAAGCAGCTGAAAAAGAGAGAGATTATATTACAGAATGTCCTGAGGCACTTTCCAGAAACGTGTTCAGTGAAAATGAAAAGAATGCAATGAATGAGAAAACTGAAATATTGCAGCCAGTCAAAAATGTTCAAAGTGAACAGCTCAGTGAATCACCAGAAAGAACCACAGAAAAAGGGAGCAGCGTGCAAAATGCTCAAGCTGTGTATTGCATTGAGCAAGTTGCTGTTTCATCGCCACAAGAAATGTTTAATACTGATGGGGAAGAGCATCAACACATCATTTTGTCTAGGGCTGCAGAAACTCATGATCTACTTGATATTCACAGTAAAGAACAGAAAGAGCAGATTAAAACAGGGCATATGCAGGACATGCATCAGATCTCATTTCCAAATGACAAGTCTCTCAGAGAAACAATGCAGTCAGATAAAGATGTTACTTTGGACTCTCATCCTGAAGACAATTATCAAGACCTCACAGATAACGCTCACCCAGGCTTCAAAGCATCAGGAAACAGAAGAAAACTAGGGTCAAGTCGGAGAACTAAAGGAAGAAAACATGGCCAGGTTAATGAGCAAAACCAAGAAAACAAAGACGAAGCTTTAGAAAACACAGGCGATGATGAAACAACAACATTAGCTGGAAGACAGGAAGAATTAGAAAACTTCATACTGCCGAAAATTTTACCAACATTTAGCTCACCTGTGACAGAAAAGCTGCTGGAGGAAAACACAGTTTCTTCTCATGATGTTTTGGAGGACAGTACAATTGCAAAATCAGATTTTACTTCAAACTCAAACCAAGAAAATTCAATAAAATCCAATGTAGAAACAAAAGAAAAAGATGCAAAATGTATTGATGAGGCTGAGGATTGGACTCAGCTTACAGGACATGACACAAACAAAACGGGTTTGATGCAATCAGGCCAAGACTCTGTGTTGAGCAGTGACTCAGATATGCAGAGTATCTTATTTATCAGCCCAAAGTCAAAAAGTGTTTGTGTCATCGATCAAGAAGAAGCCTTACAAAGACAAAAGATAGAAGCTTTATCTTGTGAAAGAGACCCGTTGGGAGCCGAAGTCCATTTGAAAGAGACAAACAAAGAGATCGAAACAGCTGGATTTATAACAACAGAAGTCTGCAGCTCACAGGTGGAAAGCTCAATGGATTTGCAAAATCCTATAAAGGATGACGTGGAAGGGAAATATATGAATGCCAGAAAGCAGGAAAATACTTCAAATGAGTTCGTTTCTGCTTCGCAGGAGCCAGCTATGGATGCATCGCACCAAGGGGGGATTTCTACAACAATAAACCCAATGGAGAGCCAAGGAGAAAAACCTCAAGAAACATCAAAACAGAAGAAGAGAAAGATTGGGTCTTCTCGCAGGACTCCGCTGAACAGAAAACGAGATGGTGAGAGACATGAGAGAGACGAGGCAGAAGAAAGCGACTATCGCGCAAAAGCTGAGATGACGAATCCTGGCGAGATGGAGGTTGAGGGGAAAGTACTGGTAAATAAAGAAGTGCTACAAGGTAAAGATGTGCAACCACAACAAGAAGCTTCATTGCAACAAGAAACTCTAGAAACTGAAACTGGCGATAGCCTACAAAGCAGTAACATGAGCCTGGCTTTCCCTCCTGAACAATCTGCCACCATAGATATTATTTTAGAAACACCAAAACCAGATGATTTTACCAACATTCAGACCCAAATATGCTCTGAGGATACAGAAAGAAACAGGAGCTCATTAAATCAGCCAGTGTCTTCAAACACTGGCACCCCAGGAGGGAGCTTGAAGGGTACACAAGGTGATGAGCGCAGTCCTGAGAGCATCAAGGTAAGCCAAGACCAAGATGTTCAAGAGCAAATGCCAAGTAGCGTGACTGAAAGCATTCATTGTCAAAATCCTGGAGCGAGGAATGAAAATCTGGATTCGACTCCAACCAACAGGAGAAGAAAAATGGGCTCTACTCGTAAAAATCTAGGAACACGGACCAAAGAGGAAATCCTAGAACCAGAAAAGGAATCCACAGATACTGTATTGTCTTCTGGAGATGTAACCGTGGCAAGTGTCTCAGAAAAGAAAGAAACAGAACTACACCTTCACACAGAACACACAGACGTCAACACTGATCAAGAAAAACAGAAAGAAGCTGCGGAAATCAGCCAATTTGGTGAGTCTTTACTAAGAGCTCTGGCTGAGGAGGAGAAGGCTGAAGAATCTTCAATCTCACAAACCCAAACAGCAGAAACAAGTGGACTTTCATCCAGCCCTTCCAATGACGGCACATCAGGGAGGCGGAAAAAATTTGGATCAAATCGGAAGTCAGGGTTACAACGAAAACCCGACCAAAATGCACAAAATGAAGATGAAGCTGGAGGACTGATAGAGGGAAGTGCTCTCAAAGCAGCTGAAAGAGAAGAATCATCGGGGCTGAGGAAAATATCAGAGGTAAGTTCCAAAGCTTGTACTTTTTACTGTTTTTTTATGGTGTATCATAAGGACACATATTTTTAAAGCATATATGTCAATGTAAATATGACACAAATATGTGTGTAAAGACCTCGAGTTACGCACTATCTCTGTCTGACAAGAACATGCGTTTGTGTGCAAGTCAGTGTTTTATCCCTCATAGAAGATCAACATCAAGTGAAGAGCAAGTGCTACTTCCTATTTGTATAAAACATCTTGTACTTGATTGCATTTTTGTTCTAAGAAAATAATGATGCAACTTACTGAAATGAGGAACATGTGGTCGTCACTATGTTTTACATTGTGAAAAGGAGAACATGCGTGTACATCTGGCTACATCAGAAACTTGATACATGCAGCCTATAAATAAGATCATGTAGTTTGATTTTGAAGAACACTAAGTTACCGTAAGTACACTGACATGATATGCATGTTAAGGAAATAGATATAAAACCAAAAAGATTCAGGGATATAGAATAAGTTAAGTATTTTTTGTTTATCTCACTTCTTTTTTTTTTTGTTTCTGCAGGTTGATGAAAATGGGCAGAAACCATCTTCCAGCGCCGATATTTTAGAAGCTACAGGGTCATCAAAATCTATGAGGTAATTCTTGGACTCAGATTAAACTCAGATAATAAACTCAGTTATCGCAGACACACGTAACTTGCTAGCTGCCGCAATGAACTGTTGTTGGATCTGCTTTGTAACACAAACCATAACTCAATGAGAATCATCGTTCAATTGCAGAGTCACCAGTTTCATGAGAAAAACTCAATATGTAGATTATTTTCTAAAAAGTAAATGCATTAATTTGTTGTATTTGCAACATTGAATGAGTCTAGAAAGGTTGACTTGTGTGAAGCTAGATAAAAGTATCACTTCTCAATTTTGGTCTTTACTTTGTCCTTCTGAGCAGAGACTGCACCGCCCACTCTCTGTCTGATTTGCTCTTCAAATTCAGTCATCTGTCACCTTTCTGTTAGTTCAGAAACCCCAGGTCATCTGGGAAATGGGAGGTTTAATAGGAACTTTTTTAAATCACTTAAACATTTCTGTGGTATTTTGTATTTCCTTTTAAACTGTGTGACTTTTGTAAAAGTCTTTGCATTACTTTCCACAAGCCTCTCATAACAGTTTGTTGGTATTTTGTCTCATTCATTCTGACTGAACTAGATTTTTTTTTCTTTCTTTTTCCTCCAAATGTGATGATGGTCATTACAGCCAAATCCTTCAAACTTACATTCCTCAGTATGTATTTGCAAACTAGTTTCTTCCACTCAGTGTGACCTTTCAACCAACATTGTCACAAGATTCTTTTCACTACAGATAAGACTCATCAGCTTCAGCTGATTCTTCACCAGGACATTTGCTTTTGTTGTGGGGTTGTTATGAACAGTTCACACCAAAGCACATCCATCTCTGAACCAAGTTATGGATCTTCACGATTCTCTTCCCGATATCATGGCTAATATTGTTTTTCCATTGTACAATGATAGCACACAGCTAAGCAGTGTGTTTGAGAATACATTGTTTGGAAATCGGTGCCTCTGTTAGCCTCATATGTTGTGACTTAACCTCATTACAAATTGTTATCTTAATGTATGTAAGATATATGCGGTGCAGATACACATCTAAATTTTAAACAAAGCAGTAAAAATACATAACATTTTTTCATGAATTTCACCGAAGCAGATATAAATAACTATATTATTCTTAACTTGTGTTACCTTAAAGGAAGGAAAGCTTAGCCTAATATAATTTGAGGCTCCATTAAAGCTTGTGTCATTTTTGCATATCTGGTTTCAACTGCAAATAGCATCTAATGGTTGTTATGGAAACTCAAGTCTCCATAATTTGCTGCAGTTCTGTAACAGTGGAGATCATTTTATATGTAGCTCCAGTCCTTCACTCTGCACTGTTGCAAAACTGTAGGTCTGGTTGTTTTAAAATTTTAATCATTGCATCTGTTAAATTTGTTTAATGTTTTTTTTTTTGTCCTTTTTGTTAATGTTTGAATATAGCAATATATTTGTGTGAATTTATGTGTTTCCCATATTTTTCCACGATTGTTTTAAATGTCAATATGTATTTTTTTAAGATGAGAAAAAAATGGTCAATTGTTCAATTGTGATATTTGTAAAGCAATTCACAAATTCCCTTACATTTTCAAATGTATTATTTTCCATAAAATGCAACTTTTATTTCTTCTAAAGCAGCAGCTCATCAAATAAACCAATAAAATAAATTGAGTTGGAAGGCATAGCAACCAACTTTTTTCAGAAAAGCATAATTGTAAGAATCTATTTCTGGATTCCCATTTGATAATAGAAAGGTCCGGTTTGTTACTTTACGTCTGTGTAAAAACAAGAAATACTAAATAGTCGAGAATCTTACAAATTCATACTGACAACAAACATTTTTCAATTGAACTAAATTAACATAGGATGTGCATGTCAAACTTTAATGACAAGGTTTTTATTCCTAAGGGACAAGACACCAGAGAAACCTGTCCACCGTAATATCCGCTTGGATCAAGAGAGTGGGAGTCAGCTTTCTTTTGGTAAACATACCCACAATTCTTGCACACAATTGTTCATCTGAAAGAAGAACAAGAAGCAGAAGTTTGCATTTAGACCGAAAGGGACTCTCCTTCTCATTTTATCAGGTGCTGCTAGTGGCGCAGATAAATCAGAGGGCTACAACGTGGTGATGATTGGAGAGAGCTGTGTTGGAAAGACTTCTTTCATGAAAAGAGCTCAGAGCGGGAAGTTTTTTTTGGACATTCCTGCCTCTGTTGGTAAGATCCTCATACTTCAGATTATTGCAATTACGTGTCAATATAGCAAATTATATCACCATGAAATATTTTGCAGGCCTTGATTCCTGCAAGTGGACTGTGGTAGTAGATGGAAAACCTGTGGTTCTACAGTTATGGGATACAGCAGGTCAGGAAAGGTAAGTTTCTCATTAATTATTGTTGAAAGTAAAAACATTAGAAGTGAGGTTCTGGTGAGAACAAGATTATATGATGCCAAGAAAAGTTGGCTGACTTTTTTATGGGAAAAACACCTGTTAATTGTGCTTTAAACTACCATTTTATTGCAGTGAAAGGACGTTTTCTTGTTTGCAAATGATGTGGTTTTGTTTGCATCTTTAGCTACTTCTGAACTTTGGTTTGACCCAGAATGTTAGCAGCTGAGTGACAAAAGGACAGAATGATAGGCAGTCCTCTTAATTGTGGTTCTGAACTAGAAAAACATGGACTGACCCTTCCAGGTCAGGTGAGTTTCTTTTTCAAGCAAAGGAGTTCAAGTATCCTGCTTTTTCATGATAATCGTGAAGCACAGAAAGGGTTCAAAGAGTAGTTCTTTGTCTGCCCAGAACAAGTTGACTTGAACATGTATCTTGGAAAACATTTTTCCACAACATTTGTATCAGACTAGATTTCAACTCTCACCTCATATGAAATGTGGAAAATGGCCAAAAGCATAAGATCCTGGTTACAAGCAACAGAAACGTGTTGGATGGGCCCAGCACTGAAGGTAGGGTCCGTCATCCGCAGGGAATTTTAGTGTTTCACAAAACAAATCAATCGTCCGTGTAGCAGACATTTGATGTTTACAATGAATAGACCTGGTCATATACAGGCAGAAACATTGTAGGGTACGATAAAACTTATGAAGAGATACTTTGTGGTGTATTTTGTTCTAATTGTCAAGCTGACCGCTTGTATGTTTTAGGAAGTGGCTGTGGTATTTCTGGGTAAACATAGCTTTTGGCTCTCTGGTGACTGAGTACAGTTTGTCTTATTGCCCCCGTTTGAAAGCAGCACTTTGTGTTCCCAACATTCAGGCAAATGTAACAGTCTGTAAGGGCAGAGACTCACACTCACAGCCTTCCTGAACTAGTACAAGACATGGTGCTCAGAAGTGTTTGGGATTTCTCCTTCAGGTCAATTTTTTTTTTCAGAACTGGTCCAACAGATTTTTCTTAGAGACAGAGTTAAACTCCCAGTTCGTTTTGTGCCACTTCAATAACTTGGCTTCAAAACATTCTGACTGATGTGTTTTCAGTGGAAGCAGTTTTGGATCCACATTTACTTTGAAACGGTTCAAACACAAAGCACAAGATTTCTCCCCAGTATATGTGAAATTAATGCTGGAACAATAAAAAATAAACACAAATATATTTCTGATGTGGCTAATAACATGGAATTCACACCAGATGATGGAAAGAATGAAAGTAATCCACACATAATAAATGAAGCCATATTTGACTATAAATCATTTGACATAAAGTGTAATGTGACAGGGAATTTGTATCAAACCCAGTTACTGGAGCTTTTCAAACGTTAGTCGCATGCATGACTCAGATTTAATTTTGACCAAAATAATTGTTTTTGAATCTTGAAGGTTCTGGGGATTTCTTCTCTTCATTTTGATCTTCTGCTTTCTTCAGCAATCAAACATTGATTTCTAAATATTGATCAATTTCAGTAATTTTCTTGACTTCCTTTGTCTTTTTGCAATTTTCAAAACTTGTTCCTTTTGCCATTCATCTTTATTGTATCACACTTATGCACTGATGTGTTACCATTCTGTAGTATGTGTGGATTATTTGGGTTGTTATTGAACTCTGTCATTAGTTTCTTTTCCATAGGCCCATTAGAAATGTTTTCTCTCATCCATTGTCTCATTGTCAAATTCACTTGTCTCCAAAGGTTTCACAGCATCACCCGACAAGTGTTCCACAAAGCCCAGGCTTTTCTCTTGATGTATGACATCACTTCCTCTCAAAGTTTTTCAGCAGTCAGCTATTGGGCTAACTCCATTCAGGTAACCAGCCTCCACTTCTGCTATTTCCTGCTTCACCGTTACTGAAACTGCAAGTCTAGGTGTGTGTGTCATGCTGTGGTCAGCGTGCCATCTGTGTTTATATTTTTGTTTTGCTGGTAAGAAGAAAAAAAACCCACTTTCAACACTAGGCAGACACTAGGCTTCTTCCATAAACAAAATGTTTTCTTTAATTAGGATATTTTTTTTATTCCTGGTGAATACGGAGTTGTTTGTCCCATAAAGCAAATCCATACTCATGCTGAAAGCAGTGGTTTTTGTTCTGGATATATTTGTTTGTTAGTAACGTAAATAAACCAGGGTACAGTTAATCTAGGATTTAAACTTTATTAAAGCCAAATGTCTGGCATTTGGCCCTTCCCTTGAGATGATTCAATCCAGAAAAACATAAAAACTGCAGCTTAAATACTAATCAAAATAATCCATGCATTTCAGGAAGCTGCTGCCGAAGACGTGACTGTTTTGCTCCTGGGAAACAAAAGCGAACACGCAAAGCGACAAGTTAAAACGGAGCAGGGTGACATCCTTGCTAAGGTGCCATTTCTAAAATTTCTTTCTGGAAAAGTTCAATTCCAACCAGTAACTTTAATGGGTTTGTTTAAATATGAGTTTTTCTTCCTCTCTCAACAGGAATATAACTTTGAATTCATGGAGTGCAGCGCTGCCACAGGTGAAAATGTGATAGAGGCTTTGGAGGCAGTGGCCAGGTAATACATGTGTGTGTGTTTTTAAATCCAACATGGCTAAGCAGCTTCTTATAAAAGTGTTCATATTTTTGAACTGGTTCCAACTACAAACTTCAACATATTTTTTTGTCGATGTTATTTGATAGATCAACAAAAGTAAAGCATTACTCTGTAGTGAGACAAAAATTATGCAGATTTTTAAACAAAACTTGTAAAAGGCATGAAAACATGAGTGGTAGGGTTTACCTTCCAGCAGTGCAAAGCTACTAAATAAACTCATGAGAAAAACTCTATGTTGTTCTTCCTTTACTTAACTTTTGTCTCTTAGTCTGTTATTTTTTTAAAAATGTATTGGCCCAGTAAAAGTTCAGTTGAAAAGTTCTGGTAAAACATGAAACTGAATTTTCACAAGTGCTCTCTTGTTGAACACAAATACACACTTTTAACATTTGTATTTGCAAAAACAAAGTAAAACTTCATATCTTTATAGCTCCACTTCACAGGGAATCCCAATTTGTCAAGTAGCACACAATGCCACGTTACTACATGGCTGCAATGTGAACATTTTGAAAGGGTGCAAACAGTTATGCAACACACTGCAGAAAACCAGTGAGTACTGTGACATTTACTGGTTGTGCTTTTGCCCTGTTGTTGGCAGGATGCTGAGTCAGAGAGCTGACCTGCTGGGAGAGGAAGTCACCGTTTTACACAAAGAGCCAACGCAGAGGAAGAGCTCAAAATGTTGCTGAACAAATGTGTTGGTTTCACAAACAAAGCAAGAAGTGATGACCTGCAAATACTGGAGATAGTTTCCTGAGTAGACTGTACCTAACAAGATGAATATAAAGTTGCTAGAACTTAATTTCTTTCTTATAATTCCTTGTATTATGTGGAATGGGGATTTTCTTGTGAAACAAAACCAAAGAAAAGCCAGTAATGGGCTTTCGAATGTGGTGTTTCTATATTTTTATAACTCAGTTGTATGGAGTAAAAGGGAATTTTAAAAGTTATGTAAATGTGCATCAAGGGTCTCTGGGTTAATTTTCTTTTGTTTTGTAGAGCATAACATTGTTTGATTTTAAATTTAAGAACTCTTCTTCCATATTTATGTTGAGGTAGTCCAAGATTTTCTGTTGAGAAAAGTTTCCTTTAGCAGTTTAGATGTCCTCACTTCCATGTTTTATCGTGTGCATTTTTCAGTAAGACGTTTGCTCTGATCAGGGTTCTGTTGTATGTAGAAAAGAACCAGTTTTTTCTTGTATCTGTTCTCATAAGCTCTGTTCTGAATTGTGTTTTAAGTAACATTTTTGGCACACATCCTCCTTGCAGTGGTCCCAGCTGCCAGGTGGCTCAGATAATCAATTCATTTCATTCCCTCTACGATTAAAAACAGTGGTTGTAAAAATATTTTTCAGTCCAAATGTAGCATTATTTTTTTTTTTATTACACTGATGTGCATTTCCAATATAACCCAGGCCGACGAGAAACCCAGAGACGCAATCAATCACACAATAAAATTGTTCTAATCTCATGTTCTATTCTCAAAAAACTCCCACTTCAACAATCTGTCTGCTTTGCCGACCTAATTTGTGTCCTCAAGTGAGTTGTGTTCTTCCAGACTGACAAAGAAGGCTGTGTTCCCAGGGGGACAACAAGTCCTTCAACGGCATGAGCAGCATGACAACAATGGCGCCACGGCAATAACCTCATAACTTCCCACAGGACTTTCAGCTGGGAACATAAATGCAGAGACGAACTCCTCCAGCATAAACAGAGGTCACGGATAATTGCAGCAGATCTGATTTTAATGACTGGCACTAACTTTAGATGGTGCATTTGCTCGCCGGCTAAAGTTCATACTGTCTCGGTTATGCGAACAGTTTTCTGAGAAATGCTGAACTGGGAGAAAATTGCTGTCAGTTTTGGAGCAAAAATGAAACAAATTTATCAGTGAGGTGGTGTTCAGCAGAATTGATCAGTTTCTCCTTTGCTCATTCAAGGTTTCAGCACATATTGTCAGGGTAACCAGTCCTCCTGGATGTTATGATTTATGGCATATATTTCTGCAGTGGTCAAGCTTTAAATATGGAATCTGCAAAAAGCACAAACAGATGGGGGGATGGCTAAATAGACAAATGGGTAAATGGTGGGAGAGTTAAACCAGAAAATACACTTTTTTCCACAATCTTTTCCATACTTTTAGTCAGAGAAAAACCATTTTTCATTCTTTTTCCAATTTGAAAAACAGCCTTATCTGTTCCAAGTTACCAAATGATTTCATGGAAATGTCAAGACACTGAAAAAAAACTATTAAAAGATACAGAGAAAGCTAACTGGCTGCCAAATCAAAAAGGAATCAGACGAGTACATTTGAAGGCTCCAGTCTTCCTCAGATCTGCCTCAGATCCTGGGAAAGTGTCTGTGGAGGTTATTGAACATTCTTACAAAGAATGTGAGTGTTTAATGAATCTAAACACACACACAGTTGTTTAGATCCAGGTGTTTTCAACGTGCTGCAGTTGCTATTGTATTAACTTGTACTGTGTTTACTTTTCAATTACGTTATATTTGTTATTATGTACGCATATCTTGTCTCGTTGCAATATTTTTTCTCTTTCTGTCGGTGTAGAAACAGACTTCTGGGATGTTGGCTTCTATTCTCTTTATCCTTATCTCTCCCTTTCATTTCCGTTTGCCTGTCCATTACATTTGAAATAAACCCAAAGCAATTTTTAATGAAATGGAGCATAATAGTGAAAGCTGTAATGCTCCACATGTGAAGAAAATCTATTGGGCCACACCTTGGTACTCAGACAAGTATGGGTCCCACATTGCCAGACAGGACACACTAAAAAACAAACACACTCATTGGAAAACTAGTAAGTAACCTTTACTGCACACCCTGAGATACTGATATAACCACATCCCAAACAAAATACACAGGAGAGTGTATTTTCTCAAAGCACAGCATATATTTTACAAGCACTGGACAGTGTAAAATCGATATAAATGGTGGTAATAAACCAATACATCCTGTATTAGGCTCTAATAATGGCTTATGTTATCATTTGGCACTTAAGACTTCCACCACAATCACAACGTTTATGCAACAAACTGTAGAAACAAGTTATAGATTCACATGTTTGTAATTTCTGTTAATTTCCTCAAATCCAAAAGGGATGAATTGATTAAAAAATTATTAAATACATTTACTTAATATTTAATAAAACACTCCCACAGGTTTTGATTTTATTTGTTTTTTTAATGACACATTAAGGCCTGAAAAGTTATTGGTGGCTGACTGACCACACAGCTGTCATGAAGAGGATTTGTTCAATACTCACGTGATTGATCAGCATCCAGAACTGATACGTGTAAATAAAAAATAACTCTTAAGAGTTCTTTGAAGGGTTTTAGTAGCCAAAAGGAGTAGAGAAAAGAGTAACAATATTAATTATCTCAAGGACTTCTGTATAAACCTTGGCCAGCAACAATAGAGTCACATTTGTATATTGACCCAATATATTTGAGGGCCATTCTCCTTTTAAACCCTTGTTAGTAAAATTTCTTTATCAACCGCGCTGTGAAATATCACTATTTCAGTCCACTTTTATTTTTTTTAAATCACCCATCAGTTGAACTACATTGCACCTCAGTTGTTGTTTCTTCCTTAACAGCTCTGTTTTCTTGAGAGACTGCGAGCGTTTCCTCAGATGTCTGTAACATTGCTTTATCAGCTGCAGTCCTGGAGCTTTTCTTGTTCTTTTTTGAGCGGTATTTCTGAACAGCCTGTAGGATGTCAGCAGCCGACCAGTGGTTACGCGTGAGAGCGTCCGGCAGGGTAAAGAAGCCGTCTCTGGTCCGCCTCACTCCTTTACACACCGCCGTGCTCCGCAGCTCCAGTCCAATCTCGTGCACAACTTTCCGCAAGTATTTCTGAGTTTCATTCAGGCACTGCACCTCTGTGGAAGACAGAACACGTGACGTGTCATGCAAGACAAAGGAAGTAAAGAAATTAATCTTGGATTCAATATTTCTCACGCTTAGCTGAGTTTACCTAAGGTGAAGTGTGGTGGCTGGAAGCGAATGCATCGTAAGCCTGTCAAAATAGGAACCGATTTCCCGTCTGGACCCAATAAGCCTTCTACAGCCAGCTCATATGCTTCCTGTGAGTTCATGTCTACACTTGAATACCTATTAGGAGGGATAATAACAGTCATTATCTGCATGATAATTTTGTTTCTTACAGTGGCATAAATTAATTCGTGTTGTGCAAAATGAGGTTGGTTGCCTACATTCTCAGGGCTTTTTGATTGGCTCCCTCCAGCATGGCCAGCACTGTCTCCATCTTCTCTTGAGTGATGTGATCTGATAAAGTTCGTTTAAGGACAAATACAAGAAAATACTATTACTGATACAGCATACATACAACAGCTAATATGTGTTTAATATAAAGAAAGAAAATCTGATTTCTTTACACAAATACATATCTGCCTTATGGGTAAATATGTGAAATTAAGACACTATTTGCATAAAAAATAAAGATCTTACTATAAGTGGATCTTTCCACAATTCGACCTGTGTGAGTGAAATCATGTGTTGCCATCCCAAATTCACCTTCCAGTGTGTAATCCTTAATCAGAACCAAACATTGAACTCTGCCTAAGAAGTTTAAATTAAGTACATAATTTCATGTATAATGTAAAACAATCAGAGGTGAGAAATTACCCTTGTGGTTCGTATCTGGTAGAGATCATTGAGGATCTTGTTCCCGTTCCCCACAGCCAGAACTGAAAGAACAGAGCTGAGTAACTGCTCTGAGATTTTCCTTAAAGGATAAACTTTTGTTATATGTGCTGGAGCGAAGTTTTACCAAGAACACCAGAAGATGAAGCATCCAGGCGGTGACCCACTCCAACTTTGAGATGCTGGAATTCAGGTCCTGTCACTAAAACATTGGAAAATGTAATTTTACAGGGACTGCATGACGCTAGAGCTGAATACAGCAATGATCTCAATTACAATTAACCCATATTTTTCTCACTCTTTCTCACCCCCTTCCCATCTTCTGTGAGCTTTAAAGTCTCCATAATCATGATTCATATGGTGTACATCAAGGGTTGCCTACTTGAGTGCTGTTGAGCTTCTTTCCTGCAACTCTTAGATGCCTCCCTTCTCAAACACGTCTGAATCAAATGAATGGCTTAGTACCAGGTGACGAGACTCAGCCGCTTGAATCCGGTGAGAAAAGACGCAGCCAAGAGTTGCAGGTTGGCCCAGACTTTAGAAAGGTCTTACAGTGGCAGCAGCCCAGGGCCTTGATTTTTTTTGTGGGGGGGGACCCAAAAGATTTTTTAGTATTAATAAATGTGTGTTTTGGAAAAATGTTACTTTATATAATACTCATAGAACCATATCTGGTGAGTTGTGTTCATAGTTTGAGGATTTTTGTGAAGAAAAACAATATTTATGCAATTCAAAATCACAAAGTTCTAGTTAACTTCAACATGGAGATGGAGGACAGGGGACATATTAAGCCTAACATGCATCAATTCATACTGGACGTTATAATTTGATTGTTTTTTTGTTTGTTTGTTTGTTTGTTTTGTTTGTTTGTTTGTTTAGAGAATAAAACTGTCCCCAGTTCAGGGTCCCACATCCTTGTAAGTCCCTGTAAGTTAGCAGCTCTCAATAACTGGACGTGTAACCTAACTCACTGTTTCTCTAAATATGTAACACGAGACATACCCAGAGGGTGCTTGGACAAGACGGGGACAGAGACTGGCCGCAGCATGAGTCCTCCAGGTGCTTCAGGTTGTTTGTTTGGGTTTGGTAAGAAGCGAACCTCATGAGGAAGAGGCGGAGCAGGTGTGTCATTCACACCTGAGGACAAGACATTCATGTTATCCAAATCTACTACAAGTTCTAATATGAAGTGAGAGATTGTTTCGCAGACGAATCATGACGAATCTCACCTTTCAGAAGATTAGTCTCGATGGTGTCCCTCACCAGCTTCCAGTGAACTCCTGCGGGTTTGTAGACGCAGAACAAACCCTCTAACCTGTGGAACATTCGCACAGCTGGACTCCGCATGGCGACAGCGCGGATTCACCTCAATTTCACCTAAAATAAATTACATTATTTCATCACTTTTAGCAATCGCGTGTTTGTTGTCCTCAGGGCAAGCCGTCTTCACACGTGAACCTTTGCGCATGCGTACACTGAACTGGTTCAACGTCTTGGTCGCTTGCTGTACACTGCCTCCTACTGGAGTGGATGTATGTTAAAAAAAAACTTTGCGCTGAAATAAAAGGTTGCATATGAATCGAGAATGACTTCAGTTTGCATTGTAGTTATTTAAATAAATCTTTCAGTCCTGGAAGAGGAGAAATAAGGTGCTCTGGTCCGTAGAAAACACAAAATGTAAACTAAGTACCGCGTCATCCCTGCTGCTGCCAACAGATGGCAGCAGAGGCTCGAGCGTCACAGAGTGAGGCAGACGAAGAGGATGAGGAAGGGAAACCAATCTAATCTCTCCTAAACCTGCAGTTTACCGGGGAGACGTTATTTCGGTAATGCTCTAAAACACAACTTCAAATGTCACAGGTGCAGAGAAAATGAGCTTTCTTACGTTAGCTGCTGTAAAAATATATATATATAACTACATTATCACATATGGTGGTGTTGAGTTTATATGTGTTTTGCACGCTGCTTTTCTACACGGGTGGTTAATTTTTAATTTAAAATCGTTATTATTATTTTATTTTTTTAGGTGGACTGTCTATTCGTTGGTATTACTAATGAACAGGTCTCTACATGTTCAAAACAGTTAAATGCACATCCAAAAGATTCCAAATATAAATGAGCAGCTTATTAAAAGAAGCAGAAACTTCAGCTGTGGATGAATCATGTTGACGTTGACACAATGTCAGGTTGGAAAGACAATAGGAATAATCTGAGAGAGGCTGTCAGGGATGGGTCATTGGACCATTTATCAAGTGGATGTTCCAGAACATTTGCCTTAAAGTCAAACAGTGTTTTGGAACAAAAGATCTTAATCAGCATGTTAAATTTCATACACAAAGTATGATGATTATAGCCTATACCAAACACAAATTTAAAGAAGAACATAGAAGTGTTATGACCTACACAAACCTACCATTACAAACATCAAAAAGGTTGTTGTTAAAGTAGCTCAGTGTTCATGTAATACTGCATCTAGACATTAAATCAAATTAATGAAAAAAAACAATGTTGTAGAAAAACACGTGGCAGAAGCTCTGACTACTGCAGCTTTCAAAGGGATGTGAAGCAAAACCTTTTCAGCTGAAATAACACAATAAAGTGTTGATTTGTAAAGTTATGTAAGAGAATTTCCTCTGCTCACCTGTTTGAAGAATATTGCACTGGCTACATACTTTCATTCTGCATTCAGATTCCCCAATAGCTCTAACGTAATTTTACTCTTGTCAGACAGACATAAAAAACTGAACCATGAATTATAAACTATAATTTTTGGACTTTCCTCAGGATCCAAAATGCACTACAGAAGTTTCTTTTAGCAGAATTAACAAACAGAAATCATTTTTAACTTATTTACTTTCCACTGGAATATTTATGGTCTCAACGTTCCTTTATTTTGCTCAGTTTTGGTGTGTTTTCTGTCATACTTGTCCAGCTGTAATGCCAAGAGTTCCTCTGCGCTGGGTGTTGTGGGATATTAAAGACACCCTGCTGAAGGTGCGGGGATCTGTGGGAGACCATTATTCTAAGGAGGCTGGAAGATGGGGCCTTAGCCTGCATCCTGAGGAGATCAACGCTGCTTTCCGGGAGACATATCGCCGTTATTCCAGCAGATACCCAAACTATGGCGTCTCTCAAGGCCAGACCGGACAGACTTGGTGGATAGGAGTCATGCGAGACACTCTGGCTGAGTGCAAAGTCAACGATCCGGCTCTGCTGAACACAATGGCTACCAATCTTTACCAAGATTTCTGCAACGCAGAAAAATGGGAGGTAAGTAACATTTGACACATTTATGCCCATAAAACAAAGTAAATAAATCAAAATGCATCCATCCATTTAGTTAATTATTAGAATAGTCAGACAATGCAGAAAAGTCATGAAAATGAAGAAACACGTCCTCTTTTTTGCTTCCAGGTATTTCCAGACTCCAAGACGGCCCTTGAACAATGTTCCTCTCTTGGACTGAAGCTGGGCGTTGTGTCTAATTTTGACAATCGCCTCGAAACAATTTTACGCAACTGCGGGCTGCTGTCGCACTTCAGCTTTGTGGTAACATCAGAGGCGGCCGGCATGGGGAAGCCCAGCCCGGTCATCTTTAATCAGGCCCTCCAGAAATGTGGCACATCCGCTGACAGAGTGGCTCACGTTGGGGACCACTATGTGTATGATTACCTTGCTTCTCGCTCTGTGGGAATCCACGGATTCCTTTTAGACAGAGACGACTCACACAAAGAAGGCGATGTTCCTCAAGAACACCGGGTTGTGACATTGGATGAGCTGCCGTCACGCCTTCAGGAACTTGTGATTGAATGACTCAAGGAAAAATCTGTACATCCTGTCACAAAACAAAATTTGCTAATTTGTCTCAGTTATTATTGCAATAAATGATAACATTGCTGTTTTGAGATCATTTTCAAGAAACATATTGATAATGAAGATGATACTGCACATTTGCCTTTTTGAGGGCCAATAAATGATAAAGTTTAATAGAAATAAAAACACACTCAGCTGAAAACATGAATAAAAAAGATTATGACATCTCTATAAACAAATTTGCTCAGTCAGGAGTTCATATCCTGTTGGGCTTTGTGAACTCAAGCACTTCTTCACCAATGTGAATCTGACAGATTCTCCTGCAGCAGTGATATGTAAATGAAACGTACAGAATATGTTCATGGGTCACGCTGTCAATACAGATGTTTATAGTCAGTTATCTGTGTCCCAAAAAGGAATATTTGATTATATGATTACAACACGCTGGCCATTAAAATGCAAGGCTCATATTGAAAATGAACCAAAAGGACAAATAAATGTAAACATTTTTATTTTTTTTTTTACAAATGGCTCATTATTTGTTTACTTATTTCAAAATAATAGTTCTTTGAAAATGTTTTGCAACCTAGCGGAATGTGAGAAACTGATTGCGTCTTAAACCTAATGATAGTGATATTGTTGGCACCATCACCATCCATAAGGTGTTTCTGATAACTGAGAATGAGTGATATTGGGACTCTTATCACAGGATTGTTAAAATTCAGTTTTACTGGAGGGTTTTCCAGCTTGAGTGGCTCGTTTAAGGAGATGCATTTCAACCTTAGCTTACCTTAACTAGGTCACTCCAAAATGTCCTTTAGGTTGTTTTGAGCCATTCAGAGACTGATTTTTCTGGGGTTGTTAAATCATAAATTATTTTCATCATCTGTACATTTTTCAAATAGAGTTTAATGTTATTTTCCCAAGCTGATCGCTGCCAGACTTGCCCTTAAAACCAACCATGCATGCTCAGTAGGAGGGATTACTGTAAGCGTAACGTCAACGACTCAATGCAAGCGATTTTTGACTGGCCCTCTATGCTCGTCCAGGAGGAGTTAATGCTGCAAGTCAATGACTCGATGCAATCTGCTGAGTTTTCATAGATGGGAAACTTTTTAAACCAATTTGAATCTTTGAGCTTAATGCACTTATTGATAAGTTAGATTAATTGGAATCCATGTGTTGTAAATTTGTGGCTTTTAAACAACCCAAAAAGTGCAACAGAAAGGGTTTTAGAGTGGCTAATTTAAAGTCCAGACTTAAATCCAGTTGATATAACGAACATAAACAAACACACTCTTACACATAGTGCCAGGTCAAATTTTATACATTTCACTATTGGTAAATTATTTTATTAAAATCTGGTGGTTTGAAACATGACAAAAAATAAACCCCTAAAAAATCATTAAGGCGGCAAATAATTTTTCACGCGACAGCAGAACTGAAATACATTTAGTTAGAAACGAGTGAAACGTTTGGTTTACAGGAAGCTTTCTGGTCTTGCATTTGTTACTTTTCTGTCACTTCTTCAGTGTCTCTTAGGATCAGTTACCGCCTCAGCAAAATTACGTCTCCAGCAGGGCAGCAGAGTGAACGGATCCTTTAACTGAAGCTGCACAGCTTTGATCGTTCCCAGTGATTTATTGCAGAGCTAAGCAGCAAGGAGAGGGCAGGGTTTCTTAACCCTAATGCCTTTGTAAATACTCTTATTTCAAACCATCTGTCCAGAAGCCGAAACTGGAGATGTTGGTGTGGAGAGGAGACCTCAGGGGAGATGAAATCCAAAGCATAACTTTGTATTTTTATATAAATCACAGCTTGACACTTGAAGAAAAAAAAAACCCCAAAAAACTAAAGAGTTTACTGAATTTTTTGAGCTAAACAAAAGCCATAACAATCAAGCAGCCTCCGTTTTTTTGATAATCATTTGATTCTCCCCAGTTCTTTGCCTTAATTTGTTTCCATATCAATGAGTGGCTTCTGTCAAAACATTTTGTTTATCTTTAGGACTGCAACCAGAAGAGCTGCTTAATTCAAAGCTGGTTTAGAAGCTCAGCCAGACGGCTCTAAAGAGCTCCGCCGAAATCCAATTGGTGACATAATGGGATTTCAAAACGAAGCTGCTCCTGCAAACGCCAACAGGGAAGAGTGGGCGGGTATGCAGCATGGTAATAAAAGGGAACAAGCCAACCTGATGCACAATCGGAGCCAACAACAAATGCTTTAATGGGAGTGGGTGTTCAGCCAGGGGCTGAAACGATTCTCTCTGCTATAAAAGCACTCAGAACTTTGGCTCATTGTTGAAATGAGGATCCAGGGTTTTGCCTCAACATTTGCGCCTCTTGAAATCTTGAAAGGAAGAGAGGAGCATTGAAAAACTTGAGTATATGGAGGGAGATTTAAAACAATTTGCTTCAGAAGTTAAAAAAGACTCACATGATTAAAGATGGAGTAGAGATACTCAGTGGCTCAATCCTGTTCAAAAGCCAGACTCAAAGAAGCAACACCTTATTATTTTTAAAAGCTTTTTCTACCAGTAGGGTCAGTTCTTTTAAAAACTTTCAAAGTAAAATTCTTCTAAGATTTTCCAAGAATGTGTTCCTTTAATCACAGCATTTTTCCCTCAGTTCAGCTAAATGAAACTTGTCTCAATCTGCAAGTGTTACATTTGTGAAAAGAGAAGTTTTTTTTGTTTTTTTAAAATATCTAAAATAGGACATTTGTGGTCATTTTTAAGGAACCACCGTTACAACATATAACATTTGCAAAAAAAGAACGAACATTTCTCTCAGTGGAATGTCAATGTAAGAAAAATGAAACAAAAAAAGCACTTACTTTCCATCATTATGAGAAAAAAATATTTGTGTTGTGTAATGCAGGAATTATTCCATACAAAAATAAACTAAATTAGCTGTTAGAGGTGCATGTTACATCTATATCTTATAAAATTAGCTGGTTCTGTAATGTTTCAGCCAAATTATTAAAGAGGCAACGTGGGAGGTCAAAGAGCACTTGCAGTTCCAGGGTTAGAGGTGGCAGAGCCCCCAACTAGAACCATAGTTTCCACAGAGATCCCAACAAAGGATAATATTGTACAAAGGTATCATCAGGAGAAGAAAAAGAAACAATTTCACAGCCTTATCTATAACACACTATAAAACTGCAATCAGTAACTGTAGAAAACTTGGAAAAACAGTGACAAAACAGAAAGTGGATCTTCTTCCAAAATTAATAAAAAGGAGGCGGCTGAAAATAAAATTGTTTCAAAGACATAAAATCTATATTGTGGATAAAATTTCTCAAAACCTTGCAGGAGAATCATACTTCAATGAACCCAGATTTAGGAGCTTTTTAATACTGTAGCTGCCTTGTCCACTTTAAAGAGAACACAGTGTTTTTCCTCAAATGTTCTGCCTCATTTACCCAGAGGTGGGAGCTCAGTTAAACATTAGCCTAATGTAAAACGTCCTGATTATCTTGCAAGTGATAAGTGGTTTGGTCTGCTGGCAAACAGGCTGTCCAGTAAACCAAAAGAGAGCAGGTGAACCAACAGGAGTCAGATTGCTCCTGGCCTCACTCTCCCTGCACCAATTTATGTTAAAAACTTTCAGGCTTTCAGAAAGTTAAAGCAAAGACATGAAGTTTGAAAAAAAAAAAGAATGGCTGCTGCTCCATTGTTTAATTTTATTGTGAACAAGAAGGTCCAACTCCACCAATCAGTGGCCCGAGTTTTCTTCTTTATGCTAGGTGCTCCTTTGAGGGCAGCTGATATAGCTGCATTACATTAAACTGGCAGTTTGACCTGCTTTCAAAAGTGCTGAGTCGCTAAAAGCAAATAAAGGAGTAACGTTTTTTTCTGCATCTGCTGACCAACTTTCAACACAGGAAATGAACAAACATCCGATGGGAAACACGGTGGTGGGAGTATGATGCTGTGTACATGAACAGTTGCAATCCAACACCATGTAGTTTCTGCTAGATAGCTAGGTTTTCATTTTCAGCATTATAGTGAGCTCCACTATATAGATATCCAACTAAAGTAAAAAAAAATTAAAAATTAAATGAGAAATGTGGATAAGAGAGATTCTCACAATTTGACATGGAGAATTTTTGTGAGTTTAATGAATCAAATATTGTAAGTGAAGATATGATGTGCTGATAAGACTATGACCAAAGACCACCAAGTGCTGAAACTGAATTAAAACATCCTGCAACAAAGTACAATAGGGATTGCACATTTTCTTAACTTTTAACACTTTCTTTTACCACATTTGATTTTAAAGTTGAATACTATAGAAAATGGGATTTGAGAGATCAACTGTACCTATACAAAATACACAGACAAACATTTTCATTTTTAATCTTTCATTGGAAAGCAAACAAATAAGTGAGGCTTTCCAGCTGTAACAACAAAAATTTGACCAGGTAAAGTTACAACACATTTTAGAAGATTTTTCTAATAATATATTAGACTTATTTGCTTTGTTTTTGACACGTGAAAAAAAAAAAAAACATTATATCTTGTAAACAAAAAAAGTTTATCGTCCTCTTAGAGTTTGTTTTTTTTGGCATACAGATACCAGAACATTCGTTGTACAATCTGTTTTTGTCCCCCACACACAAAGCACAAACTCGGGCATGCCAGCATTATAAATTCCTTCAAAAGCATTCTGAGGCTTTTCTCTTTTTAAAAAAACAAATATCAAAGCAGAGCCAAAGCTGTAACGCACCGCTTTTCTTTTAGATGACTCCACGCATGCATCCCCAGATGATGAGTACAAACTGTGCTTCTTCGGTGCTCATTCAGGCAGAATTAGTGGTTTTATTTTGGCATCTCCACATGTGGATGCTACCATAAAGCAACGTGCAGTGTGTAAAGTTTATATTTACAAAAAGAGCAAGAAACCTTTAAAAAAAGTGCACCTTTATAAAAACAAAATAGCATAGAGAACAAAAGATGTGGCCACCCAGGATGCGCATACGTTGGTACCGTTACAGATTGCAAATCTGAGGAAAGCACTCAAACAGCTCAGGAATTAAAATAACTGACAGCTTCAATGTAGGAATTTAAAGTTTTCCTCCAAGGTTCATCAGAGCAACTTTACGTTGCAGATCACAGTTTATAAAAGCTAAAGTCCAGGAAATGTGACATCAATCAGACCAGATAAACAATTCCTACTTCTATCAGGTGAAGTGAGTTCCTTCTTTTATAAAAAAAAAAAAAAAACAGACACTAAAACATGTTTAAAGCATCAGTTTCCCCCACACCACCAGTTAGTAAAAATGTCCTTTGTGCACAACGACTTCTGAGGAAAAACGTGCAGAGATAAAAAAATAATATAATAATAAAGATAAAAATAGGAACTGTGGTCTTCTCAACTATGAGAATAGCTAATGGTCATCCTGAAGCCATTAGTTAAAAATGGTTGAATATTTAGCAGAGTCAGTTCCGTTGATGTCCTCTGGATCATCCAGAAACGGTAATAAGAATATTGAGCTCTTTTCCAGGCGTGACATGAAGTCCAAACAGACTGACACAGTTCTGAGTGAAAGTGAGAGCAAGGCGCACGCATCCATCGTTTTCCGCAGTCCGAAAGCCCCAGTCAGTCAGTGTAGTGCAGATTGGGGGAGGAATATAATTGAGCATCTCATTTCCCCACATGAAAAGCTCCGACTGAGTCATATTGAAGAGGGAAGCACTTTACCTCTGATGATCTTGATCGGTTTAGAAGAATCTCCAGGGTCAGAGGCGCCACACAGAGACACACAATGTTTCAAATAGCGTCTCGTCAAACCACTGAAAGTTAAATAAAATCAGTGTTATCAAAACTTGCCTGTGTTCAACTGCAATGATTCTTGACGAATACACAAAATACACAAATAACTATGAACAAATAATAATAATTTGGAGCATTAATTAGTGTCTACTTACTTCTCTTGCAGCAAAAAAAGTCATAGGTGTTGTGACCAGTTAGCCAAGTTAAGAAAAAACATTGAAAGGATTTTATGTGATAGACCAACATGGAATTAAAAGATCACACAATTTCAAATTATTTTACGTTCATCCATTTGTTTCCAATCTGACCTCTGTTGTACTCCATCTTCTGACAAACCTCCTACGCCTTCAAAAAACATATTCAATTACACACAGAAATCTCCCAACAATAACAGGTGGTTTCTGAAAGTAATTTATTCCACTAGATGTCATTTCTGAAAATGTAGAAGACACTTTTAGATTTTTATTTGTATGAAAACTGGAAACCTGGCATCCCTTTCATTCCATTTAAAAGTCAGATGCTACTCTAAGCTGGTCTATGACATAAAAGCTTGAAGAACATAAAATTGATTCGAGCCTCTGGTTTTGATATGGCAGACAAAAGTGGACGACTTGTGCAAAGCAGAATGTCTGAACTCCACAACATGGACTTTTTGCTGAAGGAAAGTTGGTTATGGTCATCACATAAAACAAAACTTGGATCACCAACTTTTACTGACATTACAAAAATGAATGAGAGAAACTGGAACCAACAAGAACATCAATTACTAAGATGAATCTTACATCCCAAGGTTGAAAAGGTGCCTCTGTTCTTAAACTAATGTGTGCAAAAATAAATGGTTTGCTTTCTGTGGCCACTTTATCAAAAACTGATACAGAGTGAATACAGCGTAACAAAGGTTTGGAGAATCAGGAAGAAGTCACTTGTCCTTCATGCAGTAGAGGATCTGAGAGCAAACTCTGTCTATCTCAAACTAACATTTCTACGCTAAATTATAATATTTTCACACTCTTTCTCCTCAGCTAGGATCATTTGCCTTACACCATGATCGTTTTCTCAACCTCAAAAACATGGTGGTGTAACTGCAGTCACAGCGGCTGCCAATATATCCGATCTCTAAGGAGCTAAGTCCGCCGGGAGTTGATCCGTCTCTCTCAAACCAGTAGTTCTTACTCTGTATAATCCGGCTCATGAAGGTATCCTATTATCTTCCCGGAAAAAGGTATTGTGTGTTTGCTTTCGTAATCGCTCTGATTTAGTTTCTTTAACTGTTGTTTTGGGATTAGATTGAAGTGAAGAGTCAAAGTCAAGCCGTGGCATCGGTGCAACACAATCACAGCTGGGCATACCGTCCGGATATTTAATCGAGATATTTTGAGTCTTAAAGTCAAGACAAGTTGCTCTATTGGGGGAAAATAAAACAAAACTAGAAACCAACACAGCAGAGTCATCCTGTGAAACAACAGCAAATGAATATTTTAAGCCATTCTCGGCTTTTTTACATAAATATTCAGAATTGGAAAAGCACTAAGGATTTGTCTGTTTTGAGGTCATGTGAACACTTATTGTTTTTCTATGATCAAATAATTCTGTACACCTTATTTAAAAGATGATGCGATTGTGTAAAGAAATGTGTGACATTGGATGTACCATAAAATACAAACATACTTATTCCTAATAACGCTCAGAAGTCTTCATAATAAAGGTGATTAAAATTAAAGACAAGGAATGATGAGGTAAATAGTCAATCAGGCAGCAGGTGCTGATTGCTTCAGGAAACCTGTTTCCATAGGTTGGATTTTTTTTTCTCCCCCATTTCATTTCACAAGACACCTTGAACTGCTGGCTGTAAACTAATAAAAATTACCCACTCAACTAAAACTCAAGAAATCTGAGCTTTAGCACGTCGTCTTTTTTTTTTTTTATCCAACACAACAAAGAAAGAAAGGGAAGTACCACTCTCTGGCGGATAGCATGTTGCTCTGTGCTTCTCTGCCACGTAGAGATGCGCTCGGCTCCGCCTCCGACAGTCCTCCCTCCACCAGCAGCTGAATGAGAGACAGCAGAATGGCTGAAGCAGCGGCCATGCAGAGATGCATATTGCAAAGGCGGTCTAAAATTTCTAAACGCATCATGCGGGTGACTTACTGTAAGAACGAACACAACACCATGATGAGGACGCATCCAATCACGCACAGCACGAGCACCGTGGCCACAGCCTGCTTCCTGTGGTTGGTTGCTACTACGGCTAGCAGGTCTGCGTGCTCACACCTCATCCCCACAAAGCCTGGATGACACCTGCACCAAGGACAGAAAGTCGAAACGGACATCAGGAGGCCCTGGTTTTTATACAAATCCTCCTATAGCAGGTTCACTGGCTGAAAGGCAAAACCTCCAATAACAAGCAGGATGTAGAAAGCAATAAATTAATCCAATAATTAAATAAAACCAAGACAAAACTGTTTAAAACATCTGGAAACAGAAGGGGTCATATGTAATGCAGTTAGCTGTTATTTCTATTAACTGCACATGAAACAAATAAGTTAAAATAAACTTATAAATGTACATTGTAAATATATCTAAAGCAAAAAGACATTAATAAAAAAAATTGTGGGGTACTAAAACATAAATCAAGTTGTGCGCATGTCAACAATGTCTCCAAAAATAAGGCGATCCGACATCATAAAAATGTGCATGAACAACATTTGAGATCAACCTACCAGAGATTGGACTAGGCCAATTTTCCCCAGAAAAGCTAGAAATCTCACCATGTTTGGTTTCTGATGCACTTCTACTGAGTCAAACTTAGATAAAGGCTGAATATTTTTGTCGGGGGAAGAGCAAGGGTCTCAAAGGTCAAATGGCTGTGATGCAAACATGAGCATACTCTTGAAATGTATTTATTTTGTCACATTCAAAACCCTGTTAGAACCCACAGCATTATTTTCTCTTCATGTGTAATAGCACTTTGGATTAAAAAGAAGGAAAAGAAATCAGAACGGTCAAAATCAGCTGATCAAACCGAAAGTGCCCAGACATTAATATTGACTAAAAATATTAACATCTCTAAACAATACAAGAAACAATTAAATACCATTATGCAAGAAAATATTTGCTTATTAAGAGTAAAATAAGTCAACAGAAACATTTAAAGCTAAAAAGATTTTTCTGGAGATTTTTTTTAACACTTTGAGGCATCTGCAGATCTTCATTGAACCATTCAAAGCCTAAACAATGTGTTTTATCAGTGATTTATTAGATTTAAAAACCTGAAAGAAGAAAATGTGGTGAGGGAATATGAAAGCTCCCTGTGCTTAGCCAACAACTACACATGAATGTTTGATTGCTGCAGTTTATGTTGAATTTTCTTACTGCAAAGTTTGACTAAATCACTTGGCTTATTTGTGATTTCTTAGCAATGCAAACTAAAAGCATGCGGCACAAAACTAACTCCAGCTTTCCAGCACAAACAGCTTTAGATCTTAAGATTGCACTGATGTCTCAGCTGGCAGATGGCAACACTTTGCTCCAACAGCATGCAGAGCTGCAGGGAGCTTCCATAGGCAAAAAAAAAACAAACAAAAAAAACAATCTAAAGCAATCACAGCAAATGAGTAAGTCAGATACATCTGATCTGAAAATGTATGCCTTACAGGCTTCAATTCTAAGAGCAACTTTGTTGTCTTCAGGTCAGGAGTCACAGCAGAATTTGACAAGAAGGATTTTCAGTAATAATCTGATAACTTACACACATGCAGGTGTCTCCTCCAGGATCAGGAAGCGGCAGGTGCCATGGAAGCAGAAATGCCGATGGGAGTCAGGACAGTCATCAAAATGAGACCGAACAGCCGCAGCCACAAACTCTGTGAGGAAAAACAGTGTCTATTTTAAAATGTGAAAAAGGTTTGAGCAGAAATGCAATACAATCTCGATACGTCATCTAATAAATTAAAGCATCACTGATTACCAGCATCCCCACAAAACTGATGCGATTCATCTTGACTGTTTGCTATGGATTCAACACGGCAAACAAAATAACCCGACTGAGGACAGTGACGGGACATCTGAGGACAGTGACAGGACATTTGAGGACAGTGACGGGACATTTGAGGACAGTGACGGGACATTTGAGGACAGTGACGGGACATTTGAGAATCTCTCACCTCTGTCCAGATGTCAGAGCAGCAACAGGAGCACTTACAGGCAAAGCCTTTATGTTTTAGATGTTTACTGAAATTGTTTTTCTTAAGCTCACTTCAAAATGTGGTTACAGAACCAGATTATTTAAGATAATTGTTACTCCCGATTTGTCTGGTGCCTCCAAACAAATCAGGTCTGGGCCATACTAAGGAGTTATGGCCCAAATAATGCATGCTCCTGCAAAGGGACTGAAAAAAGTAGGATATTTTTTCAGTTTAAAGATCCAGAAATCTTTAAGAATAACTTATGATTAGTCACAACTTTCGGTATTGAGTCAAGCTTTGACAGTGCATCTCTGTTTTACACACTGGACTTACTGTAGGTTTAAAATTTGTTTATGAAGATGCCTTCAGTCCTGAGACTGTTACCTCAATGTAAAGGTAAAAAAATGTATTCTCCAAATAGGTCATAGATCTGAATGCTTAATGACTGTTAAAATAATTTATCCTCCTTTATATAACTACAGATTTTTCACAGCCACCGACTTTTTAAGCTACGGCAATCTGACAAAGTGAGCCACAACACCAACCCAGAACCTCCAAAAGACACGAGCTGAAGAGGTTATGATTTGCCAAAGAAGGCCTAGAGAGAAATTGTGCAACATTTTATGAAATGTTGAAATCAAGATTGTTCTTTTGGGATCTAGGAACTGCAGACCAATTCCTCATACGAGCATCATAATATGGTGTTGGGTCTCTTAATCACACAGATGATGGATTAGGTTGAATGCATTAAAATACCTAAAAAGGTCACATTGTCTTTTACTAAAGCAACAACTTCAAACGCACAACTAAGCGAGCTGCATCTTCCAAATAAGCAAAATCAATGTTGCAGAGTGGCCACCCCAAACACTAGACCTCAGTCTGATAGAAAACTTGTAGGGCGACAACAAACATGCCGTTTATGGTAGAACCAGGAAATGCACAGACAGACTGCAGCCTGATTGCCCTGGGTTGGAACACCTGTGCACAGGTAGAAATTAGGCGACTCCATGCAACGCAGATGTGAAGAACATTAAAGTGCCGTTAGCTTAAAGACTGCCAGGGAAGCTAACTCTTCAGGTTTCACAGTGAAATGTTTTGGTTTGTAAAGAAACATGCAGAACAGAAACCTGGTTGTTTCCCAGCATGAACTCCTTTTATTTTAACTTTAAATTAGGTTGGAAAAAAAGCTTCAGCTCTTTTCTGTTTTTTTTTTTATTCATGCTTTAAACATTTTTTGACAAATGTTCTCAAACTGTTTTAATTCTGTTTTTAGACAACGTTTTCCTCCTCTCACATTCTGTAAATTGGATACATATTTAATATCTTTTTGTTTTGATTTATAATAAGTTGTCAATGTTCCCAATGCTTCTATCTACAGGTAAATTAAAGCCATTAAAAGAATATAATCTCAAAACACTTCCAGGTTATCCACTGGGTCTATGAGGATACCAGTGTCCAATTAAAGGATTCCAAAACACACTTTGAGCACAATTGTTTTTATATTTGTGCGTTCCCGCCCCCCTCCCCACCCCCCAATTCCAATGGGGAAGAACCCAGAAAAGTAACGCTGTGCAACAAACTAATTTGGTTTACTTAAAAATAGGCTAGTACTCACAACATAGTATAAATGACATAAATCTAAAAATAACAAAAGCTTGTTAGAGGCCTGAAACAGAGACTTGTACTAAAGCCGACACCCACGCCACCAACGGTAAGGCTGCTAAGCCTTTTCTTCCATGATGTGCTGGATTACATCTCGGAGGCACAATTACAGCCAAAGAAAACTCCTGGTGAGAGAACAGACAAAAACCTCTGTCCATCAACCTGCGTTGGGAACGTAGAAAGGGAACATCCCTGCAGCAACGACAGCTGTGTTTCGTTTCTTTTTTTAAAATAAAAAACAGCAATCTCAATTTACACCCCGACGAGAAAAAAAAAAAAAACAGATCGAACAAATAAACGCCCAGATAAAACAGAGCACTTCTCACACGTAAGCTGTGCCGTCACACAAATTCCTCGGTCGCTGGCGCAAACAAACAAAAAGTGTTTCTCAAGCACCCAAAACAGATGCCACAGTGTGGCTTTCAGGGTGACGAGGAGGATGGACATGCAGACAGATAGCTGCATTACAGGCCGCGTCACACTCTCCATTCCAACGGTAAATGGGAGTTTGGATCGCAGCCTGCAGTCATTGTCTCCATCCTTCAGACTCCATGAAAGCACTCTGTTGTCCTGCAGGCATCTGCCTACCAAGCCCTCTCTCTTTCCATGTGATTTTGGCAGACGATTCCAGAGGGCTGGGGGGGGAAACTGACACAAAACACCAGCTCTTAAGGGAAAGCCATTTGCTTTTCACATCATAATTCAATACTGTACAGAGCATTTGGGGAAATAGCTGAAAATACAGCTCATTGTTGTCGATGTATCATAATTGCTGCCCTGAGGGTCAGTTATCAGTCACACTGTGCCCATAATGGAAACAGCAGCGCGGATCTGTCCAGGGGAAACAGCACGGCTGTGAGAGGAGGAATGAAACATACTTTTAACTGGACGTTTGCTGGTTGTTGCAGCAGGTCCTCTGGTTGTCGAGGTTGTGCTGCGGATGGTTGTTGAGGAGCTGCTTGTCAGGGTGCGAGAAGCAGCAGCAGAGGTGTTAAGAGCAACTGCAGCATCTGCGACTGTTGAATTTGTTTGCTCTGTAAAAAGAGAACCTGGAAACAAAATGCAAAGAAAATAAACTACAGAAAGCTAAAAAAAAAAAAGAGAGAGAGAGAGATAGAGAAAAGACTGATTTTATGCATTTTTACAGTTACTCAACTTACTTCTACTTGTAAGAAAGTTAGCTGTGCTTGTTGCTTTGCCACTGGTGGTCAAAGAGTTGTTACTGGATGCGTCTGGAGCAGAGGTGGTGATTGTGTCGATGGAAACGTTCGCTTCAATCACAGCTGAACCGCTCGGACCTGCTCCAAATGTAAAGAAGGAACCTGCACAGGGAAATACAAGTGTTTTTAAACACAATTCATGCACCTCTCCTCTGGGAAAAAAAATGACCATCTCTAAATTGCATTTGTATTTAGTCTCCCTGACTCAACAATTTATAGACCCACTTACAGGTCCACCTCTGCAATCTGCAATTTTTCTCCATTTCTTCTTTTCAAAATAGCTTTAACTTTAAAGCCAGAGCTAACCTATTCCACTTTAACGCAGGCTGAAAGTTTTTTTTTGTTTCTTGTGGTTCTTGATGGAGAGTGAAAGTTTGAAGAAGTTCTTCTCTAGAGGCAACATGACAAACTTCTTCCAAAGGGCTCCACTTTTGTCTCATCGGTCCACACGTTTTCCTCACAGACTTGGTGAAAATCAAGATGTCTTTGACAAACGTGAGACAGGACAGAGTTTGAATGACACCTTCAATATTTTTAAAAATCCACTTTAAAAAAATTTTATTGCAACGTCTCTGTTAAACAAATGCAAAGTCAGCAGAAAAATTATAAATGCAGTGCTTTTTACCTATGACAATGCGACCTTTAGCTTTTACCAAACAATGGTTTACAGGGTTAAACATCCACTAAAAGGATGAGACCAAGGCACTATAAATACACAGCAGGCCCAGTGACGACAAGAAAAACTGAAACAAGCGGGACGCGCAGCAAAACGTCCTTTTAATTAAAATACAAGTGCATGAATTCTTAATTGGTATCAGAATTTTATTTTACTGACAAACCTGCTTGTTTCTTTAAAACAGTTCTCTGGGTGATCCAAAACAAAACTTAACATTTCAGCTCAAACGTCGATCAAACACTCACCGCTGATGAGAAAAATAGCATCCCACAAAATCCGAGTCATCGTGCCGGCTGAGGGGTCTGAAGAGCGGCTTCAGAGGAATCCGGGCGCGTTGGAGAACCACATCAGAGGTGAAGCAGCAGCAGCAGCGATGGTTATTTAAATCCTTGAGCTACAGCCGCCGACCACTGTCAAAACGCAAGCATGTAATCCACCGGACGGAAAGAAAAAGCAACAGAGAAAAGTGGCTTCGACGCAACTGCAGCCGAGTTTTCCGTCTCTTCTCCCCTGGATGCCACAGCCTTTTACTTGGCGATGCTGCTCAATTGAGGAAACTCTCGTAATCCTGTCAGAGCAGACCAATTAGAGACAGGTGGGGGAGGGGGAGAAGAGGTCTCACTCTGACCTCAATATCACTTCACTCGCTTTGTGTCGCCTTGTTCAATATGTAATAGATATAAATTATACCGACTCGTCATTAAGTCTGAAATGTACACTTAGAAATGCTCTGAATGTGCAGACGAATACTTTTCCGCTTTTTTAGGTTAGATGTCGATCAAACTTCCAAACACTGAATGATTATCAAATGTCACTTTTACTTCATGACCCTAAAGAAAACACTTAAAAATGTTTTGTTGTTTTTTTTATGCAACAAAGCTGAGAACAAAAAAAGGCCCGGTTGACTCCCATTGAAAGTACAATCTCCAATCCCCACAGCTGTTTCAGAATAATATTCTGAAATATCTGAATATGATTGTATCATAATCATACATTATAAGCTATTAGGGTTTGATTTTCAAGAAAAGTAGTTCATTTTGTCTGGGTAATTTTACTGATATACCAAGTCAGAAAGTAGGCTGTCTATTGTTTTAACTTCTGATTGAGATGAATTTGTTACTCAGTTACTATGTAGAGTGCAAGCAATAATTTAATCAGCAGCAAAGTGGCTGTAGGGATAAGGGAAACACCACGGACTCCATCCTAAGTTAAGAAAGGCACAAACAAATAAAGACGTTGTTATAGTTTATTCTTAGATGCCAACAAAGCTTAAGACCTGGTGCTCAAAGGACATTTTATTGAAAAATAAAATGTCCGGACAGACGGATGTTAAGCTTTTGCGTAAGCTTAACATCCAAAAGCAGGAAACCCCAATCTTGACGTAGCACCACTGTAGTCGTACAACTTGTCTTCCTTTCCTCTGTTTTTCCTTTCACTTCTCAGTATTCAGACGATTTATGTTTTCCCTCCAACTTTAGGCTGAACTATAATCCTGCTCTCCTTATGTTCAGTCATCTGTCCAGCAGATTTGCTGATAATAATAAATTTAAAACTTCTGGCCAGAATCTGCTGAAATTTGTTTTTTTTTAACATTCCAACAAATATTAAATAATATAGACTAGGCTCTCAGGACCTGAATTTACTCAGCAAAAGACGAATGTTGACAATATGTATTATAGTAAAATGAATAAGACAAAAACTGACAGCACCAACAAAGTTGGCTGTAGCTACAGTATGACAGACGGTTCTCCCTGTTTGACGCAGAAGTAAAACATTGTACTTGTAGGTTTGTTCAAGATGGACCCGTTTATCTGAATCTCGAATCACTTCAAGCTGTAAAGCAATGCAGGTGAATGTATAGCCTGCTTTTGTTGGACTAGACGCAGATGTTCTTAGAAACTCCAGCACTTCTGCTTGTACTTACTTTTAATTTCATTTTATTCATTTATTTATTTTTTGTTGTTGTTCAGCACTTCAAGTCTAATTTTGTTGCTTTTGTATGTGCTTTAAAATAAAAAAATGTATTTAATTTAATTTTACTTAATGTAAGACAGAAGAGATCTGAAAAGTAAAATTACGTCTGATGTCTTTACAGTATCAGCTGCTGATAAAAAGCTGCTGATGATAAACATATTACTGTCCCCTGAGTTATTCGTGCAAATGTGCTTCTTCCAGCTCTTCTACTGTAAAGGACATTGTCCATCAATAATAGAGTCCAGCAGGAGGGAGGGGTGTGAAACAGCGCCATCTGCTGGGTATGGTTGTTTAATTCATTTCAATTGAAGAGAATAAAATAGCAATTGTTGGTGACTTTTAGTCATCCATGGTCTCTGGACATGTCTTAGTTTTAGTTTTTCGCTAAATTTGGCTGTGTTGGCATAAACGAAAAATGACAACAAATCCAAACCTTTGATCAGGATGTTTTTTTTAGAGGGTGAGTATTATTTATTATTTATTTACTTATTTTAATCTTTGCTATGCTTTTCATGGAGCAATCTGCATCTCTTCAGCCTTTTTTGTCTGACTGACTTGCATTACTTTGGATTACAAGGAATGCAACTGCTGCTGAAATAAATACATTTTAGTAGCACTGAAATGTATTTATTTATTTACATCTCTTCAAGGTACTTCTTTGTCTACAAACTGGGAAGCTTTCAGTTTCCATATATCATATTTCACATTATTAGTGTCAAAAATAGATAATTGGTGTGTGAATATAGAAGTGAAAAAAAAGTTAGAAAATATATTTTGTTAAGTTCTTTGGTATTAAGAAAGGGTATTTTCTTGTGTCCAAAGGACTCATTATCCAGTATATATTTGTAAAAATGAACATAAAATATACATTGATTAAAATTTGTGCTGCTGTGAGTTTTTGATCCCAGAATATTTTCCGCAGGTTGATGTTATCCATTCATTCTGCAGTTTACTTACTGAATAAAACTCCATGTGGCTGAATATACCTATTTGAATCTGTTCTTAGCATCCTGGTTTAACTCCCACTATGCTGCATATTTTAAAATCTTTAAACTTGAAGGAAGAATATGCAGTTTTCACAGGTAAATCATTTCTGTGTTGTTCAAAGAATGCTGGTGAAGCATCATCTCACTGTTTGGCTGTTTATGTGTTAACCGGCTTTTAAACAACTTCAGCCAACCAAATAAGGCCCAACGCTGCTGCATGCAAATACATTTGGTCCACTTCTGATCAGGTTCAGGCTTCTGGGGATCAGTGTTTGCAGTCAGCCGATCTCTGCGCTTGTGCTGGTCCTCGCTGAGCCATCTTTACCTCAACTTAAAAATGACAACTTCAGGGGTGCAAAAGGTAAACAATTAATTTATTTTTATTTATTACATGTAAAGAGCTTATTTTCATGTTGCTGTTTTTTATGTTTTATGCATATTTTTATTCGAGGATTTTAGCATGTCCATGAGTGCGACACACAGCATTTTCCAAAATTTTGAGAGAATTAAACTTAAAATTGAGATTAGAGACAGTTTTGCTCTCATGATAGCCTCTGACTTCACCTTTTCTGTGTTTATATATGTCATCATGGAAGATGTTCATTTTCTTTTTCTTGCAGGGTAGTCCTCTGACGCTGGTGCTCATGGTTGCCTCTGCAGCCATCGGAGGAACTCTGCAGTACGGGTACAACCTGGCCATAATGAACGCTCCAACAACTGTAAGCTGCTTGTGTCTGTGTGAGGGATCTCCACTATAACTGCGAGTTACATTCAAACATATGTTATACAAAAACAACTGCTCTAAAAGTCCAAATTGCATTCTTTAACATGAGCCGGGGTGGATTTAAGCAGAGGATTTTTATTGCTCGCAAAAGTTTTCATTGCTTGTAAGAAGTCTGCAGCCTCTGTGACTTAATATGTGGGTCAGACAGTGATTTGGCACAAGTGAGAATTAGGTCTGTTCTGTCAGTGATTAGTCATTCTTGTAAAGTGCCCAGATATTTTGAGTGGCAAACTCTAATTCTTGAGGTGAGATTGGTTCTCATGATATTTGCTGAGCAAACTATCAGCAATGAAAAAGAGCAAAATCTTCCATAAGTTTAAACTAGAAATATACTCTGAGAAGTGAGTGATTTTGAAACATATGGGAGCATTTGTTTTGTGTGGCTCACCTTCCAAAGCATAAATGCATAAACCACGGCCTGAAATTGAGCTAACAGAGATAATAAGTGTCAGTGTTAACCATGGACCTAGCATCAAATATTGACCTTCATGTTCTCTCTTATAGTTCATTCAAACCTTCATCAATGAGACTTTCTTGCAACGCTGGGACATCCAGCTGGAGGACTACCAGGTGACTCTGGTGTGGACAATCATTGTCTCCATCTTCTCATTGGGGGGATTTGCCGGAGCGCTCATAGCTGGACCAATGACCATCCGCTTTGGGAGGTAAAGTGAATGATAGACCTGCTGCAGTCATCAGAGATCGTTCATTTACTTTCATTTTTTATCTCAGCACGTGTGGATGGTGCTCGCCTTTAAGCTTAAATGGTATTGGTAAATATATAACAATGTTCACTCTTGGTGTTTTGTTTCAACTACATCTTTTTCCACTGTCTAGCAAAAGTATTCAAGCACCCTTTGAAAATGCTGTCACGCTTAAATCACCAAACCTGCTGGGATTTTATCTGCAAAATTGTGACATGAAAGAAAAACATACATTAGTTCACACTGATCTACAAATGAAAATACAAAAAGAGTCACATACATTCATTCATCCTCCTTCACCGTTTGAGGTTGCAAGAGGACCAGACCTGCAGCTCAATGACCCAAAACACACTGAAACAGTTACAAAGGAGCGGTTTAGATCAAATCATAGCCAGGTGCAGAAAGGCCAAGTTAAAGTCCAGATCAAAATACAACTGATGGCCTGTGGTGAGATGTGAAAATTGATATTTACAACTGAATCCAATCCATCCAAACTAACATAAACCTCAAGATTTTCAAAGCTGATAAAGCTTGTTCTGGAAGGCATTGACTCAGTTGGGCTGTGTACAAATATGTACCACAATTTTAAACATTTATTTGCAAAATAAATGTGAAAATCATGTATCTTTTAACTTCTCAATTTTGTAAATTGTAAATTAAAATCTCAGCAAAACAAATACGATTGTTGTTGTTTTTCTCATCTGCAAAGGAAAAAATGTCTGCTGCTGAACAACGTTTTTCTCATGAGCGGTGCTCTCTTGGCCCTCACAAGCCGAGCTGCCGGGTCGTTCGAGATGATCATGCTCTCACGTGTCCTGATTGGAATAAACGCTGGTACGGCAATTAAACATTTTCCAGATCACCCATGCATGCCTCAGGGTAACATTCATTCATTCAGAAAGAGAGTTCATTTACAGAGAGAGCATGTTTGTTTCTCAGGAATCAGCATGAATGTTCAACCCATGTATTTTGGAGAAAGTGCACCAAAGCACTTGAGAGGGGCCGTCTCTCTGTCGTCGGCTGTTTTCACTGCTTTCGGTGTCGTCCTGGGGCAGATCGTTGGTCTCAGGTGTGCTCCTGGCATCACTAAACACGCCAGTCCAGGATTTTAAAAGTGTCTCTCTGCTTTTCAAATGAATAAACAAATGCTCTTTGTTTCTAAAGGGAGATTTTGGGGTGTGAGTCATGTTGGCAGTATCTGCTGGCCAGTAATGCTATTCCTGGCTTCATCCAGCTTCTGACCCTGCCATGGTTTCCAGAGAGTCCCAGATACCTGCTTATTGACAGAGGGGACAAAGAGGCTTGTATTAATGGTAGGTACAGTATTATGTTCAAGTGAAGTACAGTCTACATTCAGCGGCTTTCAAAAGTACTTATACCTCTTGAAACCTTTTTACGCATCATCCCATAACAACCCAAAAAAAACAGAGAACATTTGTGAAGGAAAAATGTGGAAGGATGTTTGTGAAAAATGTTAAGGATATTATATGTATAAGGAAAAAGGAGATTTGTAGAACCAGCCATCTTGCTGTAAGTACACCTGACAATCTATGTCTTTATAGGCTTTTTCAAGTGTTGCTAAAGATTCTTGGTTGTTTTTAGGTCTGTACTTTCACTGGGTTTCATAATGAATGAATATACTTTTATTTAAAGCCACAGTTTTCAATCTATGGTACACATACCATGGCTGATACCAGGGATACCTCAGACGAAATTATTATGACTGAAGGAAAAACACATTTTATTCACAGGAATACTTTTCTCTTTTTCATTCTCTCAGTATTTTCAGTATGTTTTGTGTTTTGTTTTTCCCCCCCTCTTTGGTTAGCTCTGCGTCGTTTTCGAGGCTGTGAAGTTGAGAGCACTGAGCTCGATGAGATCCTGCAGGAACAGGCAGACACTAAAGGCATGAGACCAAGGCGGCCATGGGAGCTTGTCACTGATCGCTCTGTGCGCTGGCAGCTCACCTCTGTCATCATCATCAGCAGTGCCATGCAGCTCTGTGGAAACGATTCGGTAAGCTCCCCGGTCTGGGTCTTTCACTGAGGCCTGCTGTCATGATATCAGAGACTTATAATGCAGCTGTTGGAGGTTTGGTCAACTGTAGTATTTTTTTTTTCTCACTTTTGCTAAGAAAAAAAATACAGCAATTTTTCAGGGACTTACAGTTAATGTACAGCAACATTATCCGATGTTCTTGTGGTCAGGGCTTCTTTTGATGAATGTTTGGGATGTTGGTGGGAAATTTAGAAGGATTCCTCCGAACCGCCCGGTTGAGCTGCCAAGTTTCTGTTTGGACTTTATGTTCTTTACAGTTTGTTCTCAAAATGGTTTATTACTGTGGGCAGCTGCAGAAGCATCATAGTAAATGTGTAAAAGAGCCCCAATTATTCTTATGTATGATTTCAACCATATTCTCATTTAAAAAGAAAAAAGGGAGGCAATACATCACATACATCATACTTTCCTGGAGCCTTTAGATTTCTTTTTGGAAGTTGAACAGCTATTTTCCAGAATTTACGGGGTACGTATCCAAAAAACGACGGGTTACTGTCCGCAAGTTGCAGAATAGTTTCAAAGACTTACAGATTAATTCACAGAACCTTTATGTAAATTTCTGGATTCACAGGATTTGTGTACAGACACAAACAGTTGCTTTCATACAGTTTACAAGCTACAATTTTACAAAAATGTTTTCCAAACTAACAGGAGAATTACTTTACTAGAAAAAAAAAACTTATTTTCTTAAATCTTACTGATTCTTCTTATATGTAACTTTGAAATTATTAGTACATTTGAGAACTGGCAGTTTTCTTTTACAAATATTCCATGGTTTGTCGAATAATCAAGATCCTTTCCAGAACGAGAAGTACTTTATTGAATTTTCAAGGCATTTTCAGCAACTTTTAATTGCAACTTTTTAGAACAGACAATTGTTCGTCCAAAACTACAGCAAGTGTTCTCAACTTTGCAGGTAAATTTCTGTAAGTGTAATTTCTGTAGGTGTAATTTTTCCAGAATATACCAGGTAAGACGTGCGAAGGGCACCCTAAAGTTACTATCCAAGAAATTTCTCAAATATCAAAAAAATTGTTTTGTGAAAAGGCTATGTGAATGACTGATTCTATATTTACATGTTATGTCATCAGTCCGACATAAATATAAAGTTTTGTGTGAATTCTGATATTTAAAATAAAAACAATGTAGATGAGACAAATTAGCAATGGTTCATAATAATTTTACTAAAGAAAAAAATTTAAGTATGGAGTCATGAAACTGCTCCAAAGAGTACAACAAGTTGCTCCAGTAAATGAAAGAGTGAATGGAGCTGGTTACACCTTTGGAATTGCACATTACTCTCAGGAAGTCATAAAGTTGTTTCAGGGATTTATAGTTTATTTTTCCTGGATCTTGCTGGTAGTTTACTTGAAACTTATGAATAAATTTCCAAAACTTACAGTTGCTATTCTGAAATTTACAAATTCCTCTCTTAAAATCACAGTAAATCTTTTCAGATTACTGTCTTGGACGCTATCGATACTTTTCAAGAATTTTTCCTAAACTTTAAAACTGGGCTGCATTATCTACTTTCTAGTAGAGTCCATTTACTTTTATGGATTTACAGGTTACATTTTGGGAACAGGACTGTGTAATAAAGTGAACTATTACCAGTTAATTTCTGCTCCTTACAGTCCTGCCCTTCAAGATTCCCTTTAGATTCTGGTGTATAAACTCAAAATTACATGAATGTTTGAGCTGTGTTACATGTTTTTTTTTTGTATGTTTATGATTAAATTTGTGCATCTTTGCAACATTTTAAAGCATTATGACAATGGAAAACACTATCTAAATCTTGAGTTTAAGACCTCTTAACCACATTTTTGGCAGCTTTGGGAAAGACTTTATATTAGCACAAATACTCAGAGTACAAATGTGGGCACAATCAACTTAAAAGTATTGAAACCCCATTGTGGTGAGCACTGATCCCTCGTAACATATTCACATTATATGTTCTTCTTACAGATTTACTTCTATGCATCTTACGTGTTTAAGGAGGCCGGCATATCTGAAGAGCAAATTCAGTATGTCACCATTGGGACTGGGACTTGTGAGTTCACAGCGTGTATTATGTGTGTAAGTTTCTGCCATTTAGTCTCTTGTTATACAACCTGCTGAAGGGGGAGAAAAGCTGCAGCTGGCAGTGCTTAAACAAAGGGGGGAAAGCCTGAATCAATATCTGTCTGAAAACAATTTTTGCAGCAATAAAAATTCAACTTCAAACTTATAAAGTAAAACTGAGTTTAGAAAGAAACTGCCTGCTGTAGGTGTGTATATTGCATCAGAGTATGAAGAGCATACACCAGATATGGAGTGAGTAAACCATACGTTGTCTGAAGAGGAAGATATATCACTTTTTATTTCTTTTTTACCATGTACAGTACTCAACTAATTTGATTTTCTTCGATTTCCCTGACATTTTCCTCCACATACGATCAGCTCTGTAGGTAATTTGACACATTCTGGATATTATGGTGTCATTAAAAAATTATCCACCTGACCAATCAGAACTGAGTCTCCTTCAGGATGTCTCTTTAAGCAGTAAAAGAAATAAAATCTGAGTTGAAAGATTAATGAGAAAATAGTCTAAGTCTGCTTTAACCAGCAAGTCTTAAACTATTTAAACAATGTTTTATCCATTGTGGATATCTGTTCAGTGCAAGTACATAACATGTATCAAATCTCATATGTCTGTAACAATACAAACAGAGTCTGAAAAATGCGTATTTGACCCTTTCAGAATCTGCTGGTTGAGCGTAAAGGTCGAAGGTTCATGTTGATGGGAGGATTCCTCCTCATGACCATCTGGGCCATCGTCTTCACCATCGCTCTGTCATTTGAGGTAATCGGCATCCGCTCCAACAAATCTCTGCAGATTTTACTTGTAATTATTTTTATCCTTTTGTTGAAAACAAGATGCTTCTTTTTTCAAACAGCAGTCTGTGTCTTGGATGTCTTACCTGAGCATGGGCTGCATCTTCACTTATATTCTCAGCTTTGGGATGGGACCAGGTAAGCTGAACAAAATGCTTTCCTCAAGTTAAAAGCCTAAATAAAATCTGTGTTTTTTAAACCTTTTGCAGCTCATCCCTAAATATGCACAAATGTATGTTTTTTCTCCAAGTCTTAAAGACCAGTAATGCTGCAAAATAAGTTTTCTAGCATAATATATCTGCACTCATGCAATCTCACTGTATTATATCTGCTGTGCTGTGTCTACCCTGCAGTATAACCAGTTGATGAAATAAAGATTATTAATATTGTATTCTTTGTAATCTCATTACCCAAAGTGTAAGTGAATCAAAGCTATTTGCTTCAAAAAATCTGAATAAGCTGGAGATGTAACAGGGGATGTGTTTTAAAATAAATGCTAAAAATACTTCTTTTCTACTCTTAGTTTGTGCCTCACACCTTAAAAATTCAAGTAAAATTTAATACACTTCCTAAACTGTGCTTTTTCTTCTACTCTCTCTCTCCCTCTCTCTCAGCTGGAGTAACCGGCGTTCTTCCCACTGAGATCTTCAATCAGACGGCGCGGCCAGCTGCATACATGATTGCTGGCTCCATGATGTGGCTCAACCTGTTCATCGTTGGGATGATCTTCCCGTTTCTGGTGGTCAGTCTGCAGCCTTTATCCCTTCATTTAAAACTTCCGCTGCACAGGTAGTTCATGTAGTTTAAAAATGAAGTGATTCACACCTGGGAAAATACTTGTAAAAGAAAATACATCACTGTTGCATAAGGTGAGGAAGGAAACTGAAATGCACATCTCACACATAGTTCGTTGGAAACTTATGAAACTGCTCACTATGCAAAGGAGCTAGACTTGGAAATTACTATGTCTTCTGTTTTTGTTTTGCTTTTTAAAGCTAAAAAAAATCAATATAAAAAAGCTAACAAGAGTAAAACTCTTGAAACTAGATAAATTATATATATATTTTTTTAAATTCTTTGATTCAAGCTAATGGGCTTTTTAATGATATTTGAACTCAAACAACAGACGTTAACATGTGTGACTTTATAATCTACTAATAAAAAAGATATTTGAGATTAGATTTTACTATATTTTAGATTATTTTTGTATATTTATCAGATTTAAGCCAAATATTGAACCTCGAGGTATTTCCTGTAATCACTTCACAACACACTATAAATCCTAGGCCTCAATCTCTGCAGAATTAAGAACAGCAATAATTTTAAGTGTTTTGGTTGGTTGGTTGATTGGTTGGTTGGTTGGTTGGTTGGTTGGTTGATTGGTTGGTTGGTTGGTTGGTTGGTTGATTGGTTGATTGGTTGATTGGTTGGTTGGTTGGTTGGTTGGTTGGTTGGTTGATTTGTTTTTTGCTATTATTGCAGAGTGGACTGAGTGAATACTGCTTTGTGCCTTTCGGAGCCATCTGCCTGTCGTCCGCTCTGTACATCGGCCTGTTTTTACCAGAGACGAAGGGAAAATCTCTGTCAGTCATCACAAGCGAATTCCACAGGATGAACTTCAAAGGCCAAAACGACAGAAGTTTGGAAATTCAGACTCAGTACAAGCTGGGCGAAGTGTGTCTTTCCACAGCCTTATAGGCAGACTATTTACTGCTGTAACAACCAGTCCACTGTGTGCTTGATGTTATTAATATATTAATAAACTGTTGGTGAATCACCAGCAGGGTGTTTCTGCCTAAAAGTTAACCTAAATATAGAAATATAGTCTCCATTTGTCAACAAACAAAACTGACAACATTTTATTTAAAACCATTTCAGTTTAAAATTTCAAACCAGTGAATGTTCATTTGATATTCTTTTTTTTTTTATTATGACTGAAACAAAACCTGTTTTAATTATGTTTCCTGCATGGCTTTAAAAAACAACATTTTTTCTGTTTATTAAGAATGTTATGAAGGTATGTTTCTGAATTATTATGTTCATTTGATCCATGATGTTGGAGTTGTTTGCACTTGTAAATATGAACCCATTATGCAACTATTGCTGCTCTGAGCCATAAACTGTCTTGTCTTGAATTCTTCCATGAAAACAAATGTTTGTGTGTTTAACATAATAAAATTCTATGAACAAATACTGTCAATCAAAACCAGTCTGTGTGAAGTTGTGATTAGACAATTTATTTGTAACAAATAAATAGTACAAATTTACTTGTTAAATCCTCAACATTGACTAAGACTGTTATTCTACTTTTAAGTATATTTTTCTCAATCACTCATATTACACTTAAACATATGAAACACTTTTCTTCTAAAAGCATTTTCTTCAAACAAAATGTTTTATGTAATTGTCACTTTTCTTCTGAAAGTGTCTGCTAGGGCCATGCATAACTACACTAACTATTATGTACAACCCGTGTCATTAATTAGATAATTGCTATTAAAAGTCTAAATTCTGCAGAGAATTTGCATGAAGAAATTTGCCACGTTTCCAAAAGCGAAGTGGTGGATACTTCTCCATCTGTATGTGAAATCTGGAAGGGAACTAGCACTCAAAATAGCTGCAGCTGTAATTGCAGCATTGGTGCTTCTACAAATTAATGATATGGTTACGTATGCAAACTTCAGTTCTTTGTAAAATGATGAAAAACATTCTTCTTGTTGCACCAGAATTTTGTGCTAGTCCGTCTCCTTACCATTCGCTACATAAGTTGCTGAACATGCCGTGCATGTGAGCACTAACATGATTAGCAATGCATCACCTATTGCAACTCATCCTGTTCTTCAGGATCTAAACCGTACAGCAGGTGACACTTTGATACAAAAATTAATCCTGCCTGTCTTTTTCTCCTTTTCCATTGTATGTTTTTATGTTTGTGTGCAACAGCAAGTCCAGCTCTGAGTCTTAAAAAAAAACAAAACAAAATGAAAGCTTCCAAGTGGCATAATCAAAGTACAGGCAAAAATAACTACTTAATAATCACAGGACAAATGTTTGGAGATTTTCAGCTGCAATTTATTTGATTCTCATCTCTGAACCAAGAATTTGAGACGAGACTCAATAACAGAGTACAAAAACAAATATCTATAGAAAAGTAAGCTCATAATGAAATATGTCCAGACGTCATAACAAAACACAGAGTTCAAGTGTTTTTAAGAGCAATCCCGTCGAGTACAATGATAAAATACCAAGGTAACATATTGTACATCTTGCGCTTTTTATACAAAAGTGTCAATGCAAGTCACTCTGTACAACTTTTACCTTTACAAAAGAAAAAGGACCATTTTATTTTCATTAATCCACTGCTGAGCACAATCAGTATTTGGAAGGCACTTTGCAACAGACAAAAAGCAGAAAGCAAAACAATTAATTCATATCATAATTCAATTTTGGGAAAGAATAAACAGATCATATATCCCTAATGTCTAAAACAAAGGTTTATTACTTCTTTACAGCATATTCCAGGTGTTTTAAACAGTAAATGTAACGAAACCTTTAAATCAGGAAATACCAGTGCAGAATGGGTAAAAAAGAAAAAGAAAAAAGCTTGGTCAAAGAGTCGAGCAGCTGGCAGTGTGAGCGCTACCACGGCAATGTGATAGATAGTTCAGTGTAACTAATATAAACGACTACAGCCACCAACCAGTGATCGACATTCAGTCCCCAGTTAAGCTTGCATGCCTGAACTTCACACTTCAGGTGGCCATAACTTAACGTCCCTCCCAACAACACAAGAAACTAAACAATAATATGTACAAAACTCACCACTTACAAACACAGATCAAACAGGTTGGTTCATATATTTATCTATTTATATATATATTTATAAAGAGAAAGAGAGAGTGAGAGTGTGTGTGTGTGTGTATGGAAGTTATATACACTTGTTACAATCACAATATAGCCATAAATAATATAGGAATGTACTAAAATAGTCAAATAATTAACAGCATACACTGAGATCCATCATCCACTCATCACATACACGCACCGTCAGCCCTTCACTGCTAGACTGAGTCTGATTTGCATCGCAATACACGCCTTCAACAAAAAATAAACGAATGTGAGAATAAATCTGACGCGTGAAGTTTAGTGGGTGCTTCGCAACCATACAGACAATAACAGAGCGAAACTCTGTGCTCGAAAAGTTTCATTGTACTTCAGCTTCAAATATTTACAGGAAAACGTGAGGGAGGCGAGTCGTGATTAGGGAGGCGAGTCATGATTAGGGCTACAGTGGAGCAGCAACTAGATAAATCCAGAAATGCAGTAGAATCAGGTGCTTTTGAGGAAGAGCCAAATAACTTAAAACATAAATGTTTACTGGCTTTTATTCCTGCTGAGCTTTGAGTGATGAGTAAACCAAACTGAGGGTTTGAAAATAAACTGACTGGATGTGATCTTAACCATTGATTTACAGAACGTTTGATGCCTTTTGACATGAATCAAGCTTACCCATTAAAATATGTTGCATAATTCCTCATGTCCCCATAAAAAAGAGGTTTTCAATCAACTGCTTGTTTGACTCTGCCACATGAACGCATCGCGTAACTCTCAATCGTGTAACATCAAACCAAAGAAAGCAGCCGCTAATGTAAAGAGACTCATGGCAAACAGGATGCAGCACAAATGGCTCTGAGCGCAAGATGAAGAGGAAGAGGGAAAGTCCAGGTGATGAAGGTGTAAAACCATTGACCAGGCGGCTCTGTCAGCTGCGACTCGTTCCCTCGGCGAAGTGTCCCGACACCTCTTCCACAACACGCATATTCACGCCTCCGTTTACCATAAATTAAAGTGAAAACACAAGAATAAAACAAGATTTGACAGTAAATTAAAAAGAAAACAAACCACAAAACTCAGGGTATGAATAAGTTATTAAAATATAATCTACATCTTTTAAAATATATAAGGAAAATATACCTGATCTTGGTCCCCGTTTCATGCATTTAACTCATTCAAGAAACTAACACAAAGACTCTGCCATTATCCAGACCTTCTATTTAAATCGGACTGCGAATCCCCGATTTCCTCTTTCAGTCTCCTCCTCTGTTTGGATGAGTTTTAGTAAAATTAAGAAACATAATCAAAGTAGGACTTCAGGTTTAGCAGTATCAAATAGAGAGGATTTTTTAAAAAAAAGAATCAGATCATTGTCCCTTTAATAAACTCTAGCCACGTGTCTAAATTTAAATCAATCCATGACTTTTCTTCCTTGAATTTTTTTTTTTCGTCCTTTTAGACAATTTCATGAGCACATAAAACATAAACAAAGAGAATCCCTTTGAAAAGTGCTTCTTGACTGCATGAGGGTGTTCAACAACTGATATTTCTGAAAACACAATATACAGCAGTCCTGGTACAGACGAGTGAAAACCCTTAATGTAAATTCATCTCCATCACAGCAGCTTAATCTCAATACTAAGTAAATCCAATATTTGAGTTTGTTTTTCTTTCCTCCAACTCAGTTTTAAAAATAATGAACAAAATATCTTATCTAATTTTTATGCAGTAAAAATTACAAATATTTCATTAAACTAATATAATATTAACATAAATTTACATTTACTTCAGACTTCTTGTCCTGAGGTATACAAACAGTGTGACGGACTCATTTCTCTTAACAGCTCTGCAATATGGAAAGACATCCAACATATGTTGATCTTCAGAAGTCTACAAAAATAGTTACTAAACTTTGTTCCACACCAAAAGTCAGTTACGTTAAAGAATTAACTACAACTGGAACAAAGAAAGGTGAACGAGGACCGATTTTTATCTTGATAAAACTCAACGTTTGACATACTCTGTTGGTTACCTTAACCTGAACCATGTGCTTAGATCAGATGACAAACATTAAGCTATTAAGCAAAAAAAGAAAAAAACACTCCAGGTGTAAAATAAAGGTATGGTGGAGGATCTGTGATACTGTGGGTCTGTCTCTCTTCCATCAGGCCTAGAAACTTTGGCATCATGAACTCTTTGAGATACCATGATGATTAACAAATGAAATGAGAACAGAAATGATGCATTTGAAACATAATCCTCAGTCTCCATGGTGAGACTGAGTCACCCAGACCTAAATCCTACAGAAACATTGTGGGAAGAGCTGAAGAGGCGACAGCATGAGAGAGAACCTCTGAACAGCCTGGAGAGATTGTGTGAAGGGGAATAGCCAAAGATCCATCCTCTTACTGAAAGTTAAGACTTCACTTCCCCTATATACACACTTTTCAAGAGTTAGTAATGACTGCCTAATCTCAGAAACTAAAGAGAGTTTAAAATGTGAACCCTATTGAGTTGTTCTGAAATAAGAGTCACATGGGACCATTAGATGAAAATCTTCAATGCAAGTGTCTTTTACTCACAAATGACGTTGGAAATATGTGTTATTTATTCTGAATGGATCTCATAGAAAACTCAGTGGGGCAATGTAGAAAACAACTGATATTTCTGGAGTACTTCACTGTATTTTTAGCTTCCAATTAACATTTTATTGTTAAAACTGTTCAGTTTTTAACTTGACTTGAGCTAGAAGAAGTATTTCTTTTTTTTTTTTTGTTATTTAGGAGATCAATTAGGCACCAGAAAAATTGATTTAAAAAAGTAATTGGAGAAGTATGCCACTTGAAAGCCTTTTTTTCCCCATCTTTTTTGGTGCTGCTGCAATAACAGATGAATTTATTTTAAGGTTAGTTTTGAATCTTTACCAGGGTGATGAGCCGATTGGGTGCTGCATCCCAAATAGTGTCAGCCTGTTAGGCATGTTTCATCTTAACAATGTAACATAAAAAAACAACACTGAAGCCAATTTAAATTCCCATCTCGAAAACAAAATGACGTTTACATGAATCTAAATATAAGCCCTGCTGTTGCTCTGAGGTAAAGACATCTGTGATTGCTGGGATGGCCAAGGATCCATTTTAAAGCTCGCGAGAGCAGCTAAAGTGAGTCAGTTAGCAACTACACCTAACAGCAATGTCAATAAGTCATCTCATGAGTAGAATATCTGTGCAGCTGAGAAAACTCAGAATAAAACCATCGGAGAAAGAAATGCAACATAACCTTCAGAGACTGACATCAGTGGGAAAAAAAACTAATTTCTTTACACACAAACTTTAAATGGTGAACACACTCCTTTTTGTCCTCTGAAAAAGTAGAAAAGTAGGACTTCAATGGCAGTTTCTGACAAAAACTCTGGATGCAGGTTAAGCAACGAGACAAACAAAAAGAGTAGTCTTGAGGCAAAGTTTTTCCCAAACACGGGGCGTTTTCTGTGGGCAACCCGGCTTTATCCTAAGAATGAAGAGGCCAAACGGCGGCCTGTAAAAGCCTCCGAGAAACCGTTACTTCCCTCCAAAGTCGATTCCACTCTGACCTGCCTCAGCGTCCACAAGAGACGAGGCGAAGGCAGACTGGACTATCTGAAAGCCAAATGACTCGAGGAGGGACATGTTTTGTTGGGGGGAGAAAGGGGACGTTAGGGAAGGTGCCATCTCGGTTAAGCCAGACCCCGGGACCCCGTGGGCCCGCTGGGCTTTGTGAACTCGGTGCTGGTGCTTGTTGAGGTAGGACTTGGTGCGAAACGCCTGGCCACAGATCCCACAGATAAATTTCTTCTCAGGGTCTCCGTTGGCTTTAGAAGCATCTGGAGAGCCAAGAATCCCGGTGGGAGCCCCGTTGCAAGCGAGGGAGGGCATCTCAAGCTCCGGTCCGTCGGGTTTGGTCGGAGACTTGAGCTCATCGACGTTGGACAATTCCCTTAGCGAAGTATCCGACTCCTCCGACTCCAGGTGGGGACACTTGCCGGCGTTTTCCTGCCCGTCTGAGGTGAAAACAACACAGATGGCAGAGGGAAGATGAAACAGCGGAAATAGGAGACAAAGGGAGACATGGATTAGGAGACATGGGTGAAAACCAAAAAACAGATCGTGACACATCCAACTTCAAGGAACTATTCAAACAGCCAATTTAAAGCAGCAGCTGTTACATCTGAGGGGCAAACAGAGATTGCAGCTCAGCCCAGTTGCCTCAGAATCCAACAGGATTTATGCCGTTCCATCCAACCAGTAAGCCATGCTTGCTCCATGCACACCCAAATTTTCCTGCAGGATTGTATCATAATTTTTTCTTGATAATATTCACATTCACTAAACCGATTAGCACACATGAGGCAGTGTTTCCACGCACTTAATCCCTCTGATATGAACTATTGTCCCATGGGTGAGTTATTGTCCGAACAGCAACAACCCCTCCTCAGGTAGTGCTGCAAAGAAAGACGAGAATAATCCCCGAAACCTGCTGCTTCAGTTGATTCAACAATATTCAAGGGATTTGTAGTCAAACGTTGAGCTACAAATTTTATCAACAGGTCTTTGCAAAAGCATTAATGCCCAATAAACTATTCACCCTCCAGAAAACGTCAGTGTATGTTATTGGTATTTTATGTGACAGACCAACCCAAAGTAGTACATTATTGGGAAGTGGAAGGAATACTACATGAATTAGTTTCTTTTTACAAAATAATAATAACAAAAAAAAGCAATCTTGTCAATTGAGCCGAGAATGCTCAACTCATTTTACTGTGACACTTCTGAATAAAATCCAAGGTGACCAACTGGCTCAGAATACAATTCATTACTTAGTAGAGTTCATGAGGGAGTAATTCCAGCTCAGTATAAATTGAAGGCCTCAGTATTTTGTTAGGGAACATTAGTGAACTAACAGCACTATGAGGATTTTATTTCTACTGAAGGGTACCAAGAGGAACACAATTTCTGAAAGTAAGTAAAAAGAAGTCCTGTTTCCAGTTGGCAACAATCCATGAGGCCCAGCAAACGTAGGGACGGTTTTACATGAGACCAAAATAAACCTTTTGGCAAAATGATGTTTGAAGGAAAACTAGCAATCACCCTGAAAACTATGAGGCTGGCATTCTCAATATTTTGGAATTTATACTAGTTTAACAAACAATGGACAAATAATTGTCAAATTGCTGCAAACTGTAATGATATGCTGAGTATGTAGTACAATCATCTGAATCTGCAGTGGAAATATCCAAGACTTGCAGGACACCGGCCCCTGATGACTGGACTCTGAAGCCCCTGATCTAGATCAAAGCATATTCATATTCATGAAGTGGCCTAAATCCAGGTGAGTTTCTGCAGTCCACAAATGCTCTCCAGCCAAGCTGACTGAGATTGAGCCACTTGTAAATGACTGCAGTGAAAAGAGCGTCTACAAAACACATTAAGGGGGCCATAAAAACTAAAAACATTTGGCATTTTTCTTTCACATCTAAATTACACACTATTTTGTGTCAGTCTATCACATAGATTTTTTTTTAATGGAGCTTTGATTTTGTGATAAATTCTAAAACAGTAGGAATATTTTCCAAGGCACTGGACAATTATTTTGGCACCTTTTAGGAAGATGATCACTACAATTCCTCGCTTTGTGAAAATGCACATAGATGAACATAAATCTGCCTATGCTTCATTTTTTTGTCCACTCGGGGACTGTAGGTTCTCGGTGTGCTGCATCTATGCTGTGGGTTTTCTCCTGCAGAAATGTGGCCAGTGAATCCAGGATGGGCATATGGAGCACACTCCAGGACGATCATGCATCAATGTGCGTAGGTGAAGAACTGCTCACGAACCAGCCAAGCAGAAACACACACTTAACTCGGCAGCCATAGCCATGCTGGACAGCAACATACACACACAGGCGAATGTGATAAAGTTCTCGGCCATTTAAACCAGCGCTAGAGAAAATGTTGAATAATCTCATATGCTCTCAATCAATTTATTGCATAATCTAAACTCTGACTTAGCAAAAAGTAAATTGTCCTTTCAAGAAATAAAAAGTCTTGGGGGTGGGGGAGTTACTTATGAGTGGATGCAGTGAGTGGTATCATTATTTCTGCCTCCCAGATAAATGACCACAAGTATGCTGGTGTTTGCAATACTTTTCCAGCTCTGATTTACAGTCGACTGCAACATATCAGCAGTGTAAAAGTCAGCTTTTTATGTGGACCTTTAAAAAAAAAAAAAAAAACTGTTCTGGACATAAAGTACAGAAAGTGTTCTCACTGTTCTTTGCAAGTGAAGATGCGATGGTGAATGTTTAAAATAAAAAGCATGGAAGCAGCAACTGAGGCGTGCCCAAGTTAAAATACATGGCGAGCTTGCAGTTTGATTTCTCTGTAAGTAATGCCAGCTAAAAACATGACATCAAGCTGTGGAGGTAGTAGGAGGCGAGCGGGCGACTGCTTGCCTTCCAGTGAGCACTGGCGTCCCGTTTGGTAAGGGGTGCCGTTGTGCATCTGGAGCTGCAGCTCCCCCCTGGGATCAGGGAAGGTGTGCATTGTGCCAGAAGTGGGCAGTGATGAGCCATGGTGTGTCTTTATATGAACCTTAAGGTAGGATGCAGTGGAGAAACCTGAGGCCAAAAACACATAAAAAAAAAAAAACAAGGCAGTTGCTCGGTACAGTCAAAGCCTTGGGTGTAAGAGAGGTTCCTTCAGTAACAGCAAGCTAACTTCTTGATTTGTGGGTCAGGAATAACTTCAAAATTTAATAATGGTTCAAACCAACAACTGAAAACAACAAACCTCCAGCCACCAAATGTAAATAAGTCACCAACACAAAGCCTCGTAGCTCTGCTTCCGACTGCAGCACACAGTGCCCAGCAAAAGGATTTACATTTCATCACAATACAACCACAAACTTGTATAATGACTTGTATTTAATACATTCTTTAAAGATTTTATGCAACAGACCAAGTACTGCAATATTGTGACGTGGAGGAAAAAGAAGTGAGCTGGTTGGTGAAACTGTTTGTACGCAGCAAGAAGGTCTCGGGTTTGAGTCCCTGCCTGCAGTTTTCATAGTCTCCCAAAATATGAGTGTGTGTTCTAAATTGTGTGCAATTATATGTTTGTCACATAAATATAAAAAAAATTGTGGTTGTAAGTGGAAAATAAATGTTGCAAAGTTTATAACATTGTAACCAACTATTCTCCAAGCAACGCATGACACTGTTAACTTAAATTTCACCCCTATGGATAAATAAAATGCACAAAGACACAAAATAAGTCATAATAAAACCTACAATCCAGACTCAAAAACGACCATCGTGAATCAGACGAGGAGAACTCATACAACGTCTGCTCCAGACCTGGAAAGAATGTATCAAGTTGAACTGGCTCTGCACCACAGTGAGGAGTCATTTGACAAGAGCCTTCAATGTGTATTTTTAGACATTTGATTAATTTCAGCTCTGATAACCAGGAGACCAAACACAGTCCATTTCTGGAATAATTGAATAAAACACTTTTGAGCGGTTCCTTTTCCATATTTAGTCCAACAAGTCGACGTAAATCTCAAAATATATAAAGCGCAACTCAAGATTTGCAACTGTTGAAGGTTTTCGTAGCAGTTACCTTTATTGCAAATGCCACAGTAGTTGTGAGTTCCCTCGCTGTGTTTCTTTAGGTGGTCCGTCATGTATGCGGCTCGCAGGAACTTCCCACAAACTTTGCAGGGAATTTTGTCCTCGTGGCAGGCGAGGTGCGACCGGAGGCGATCTCTCGTCGCGAAGGAGGCATTACAAATCTGAAGCACACAGAGGTGCAGACATAAACACTCGTATGTCGCCGTTAAACTCGAAGGTTTTTGCGATAAGTGCTGATGGTTACCTGGCACTTGTGGGGTCTCTCTGTCGTGTGCACTTGTTTAATGTGTCCATTCAGGTGGTCAGGTCTGCAAGCAAAGTGCAAAAAATATGAAACTAGTATGATTTTTACTGCAAAAACAGCATTAATTGTTGTAGATCACAATGACATCTACAATGAATGTTAAACACAATTTGCACAGGATTGTGTTTTCTCCACAGGAGCTGACGAATTTCTACACCCAATTTAATTTATTGTGAACCACAGATCGACTTCAAATACAACAAACATGTCTCCTTAGTTGCAGCAGGTTTTCAATGTAAAAAGTAATCTTAAAGACATAATTTAGAGATAAAAATCTGTGCTCTTCTCACAACTCGTCTAGATTATCGCAATTCATTTATGCTGGGATCAGTCAGATGGTTTCAAAATTATGGAGCAGATTGCCATTAAATATAATACAAGCATCCTCTTTCCTATTTTTGAGTCTCGTAAAAGCTTTCTTTTTTTTTTTAAATGTGCTTCATAAATATTTGTAAAAATGAACTTTAAAATAGGAAACTAGTTTACACTTCTGAATAAGATTAACTGCTGATCAAATGGGTGGGAAAAAAAAGGCATCAATTCTAAATCTTTGTCCTCCTGGACTGCTGTCCTTCCCATTTCAGATGTTTCTCTGCAAATTGAAATGATTGCATTACCTCCACAGCCACCAAGCCTGTTAATCACTAATTCATTTAAATCAGGTGTTTGGCAGCAGGGAACCAGCTAAAATATGCAGAGCACTGATTTCTAAGGAGAACTGATGAAGAAAAGAAATTGAAATAAGGCGACTTGGAGACACAGACCTGAAAGATTTTAAAACAGTTTTTTTATACGGAGCTTGTGAAGGCGTTCCTCAGTTGTTAATGAAGAAATCCCTAGTGCAGCTGGACTGGACTCTGCTTGATGTCGGCAACAAGGGATGCAGGATTTTAGATCATGTTTTCTTGTGTTTAACAGGATTTTAATTAAACCTCAGGGAAAGGCACTGGGGTGACCTGAGTTTTAATGCTGCGCTGCTCCTCCCCCACATGTTGCTGTGCACTGCTGGCAAACTGGCTGAAAGAATACTGCCATTCGATTCCCTTATTTATAACACACATTCAGAAATTTCACCCAACACAAAATGTGGGCTTCATGCTACTTTTTTTTTTTTTTTTTTACTTACAATTGTGTGTCAAATTCAAAATAAGTATTGCGTAATAAATAACTTTGGGTTGTATTGCTGTATTCTAACAGGAGTGAGAATACTTTACGCTGCATATCACAACATTGTTTTAACTTTAGTAAACATTTTTAAAGTGCATCCAAGACTGTAATGCAAGTCAAAATGTGTCTTATTGTATGTATTAAGCATTGTTGTTTCTTAATTTTGTTGGTTATAGTTTGAAGTCAGTCAGTAATTATGTAATAAAAATATTTTTACAACAAGACCAATAAAAGTATTTTAATGCTAAACTATCAAGCACATTGAAAAGTATGTCATGTTCTTGTAAATTAATTCAATACTTTGCAAAGGGTTCCTTAATATTAACTACTGGATGATGGCGTGGAGGCCTTGTGCCTGATGCTTTTGCACCTTTTCCTTCCACTAAACTTTATATTATTATGCACGATATCAAGGTCATGTGGTTAATCCCATGTGGAGGCTTGTCAGTGACTGGAGTTGTGCTATTTAAAAAAAAAAAATCATTTACAACACTTTACACGGCCCTGGTTCTTGGTTATATAAACATTCAATTCTGTCGGAACCAGCAGCAGCTGTTCTCACCGTGGGGTCCAACTCACCTGGAGAAACCCTTCCCACAGCTTTGGCACACATACGGTTTGCCAACCGAGCCGTCGTGGGACCGAACATGGTACGACATCCGGTCCTTGCGCTTGAACCGCAGCCCGCACACGGGACACGCGTACGGCTTCTCCCCGGAGTGGGACAGCTTGTGTCGGTTCAGGTGATACACGTCCCGGAAAACTTTCCCGCAAATGTCACAACCCACGTGCCGCCTGGTCCGCTCCCGCTTGCGGTTGTTGTCCAGCGCCAGTCCTCCGGGTAGCTGCACCCCGTTTTCCAGCAGGCCGGACTGCGATAGTAAAGACAGACCCCCCGGAGCCGACAGGCCGTCTCCGAGGCTGTGGACGCCCCCGGTGGAGGCTCCGTGCTGCGCTTCGTGGTTCTTTAACCGAGACGCTTCTGTGAAAGCTTTCCCGCAGGCCCCGCAGGGGAACAGCTGTCCGTTGTCCTTCTGGTTAATGTGATTAAAGTGGACAGCCTCCTTCTTCGGTCTCCCTCTTCCTCGCTTGGATCCAGGCGAGCCAGCGTCGTGATGAAACATGCTCCCCGTGATTTCCGCCGACGGGGACATAGAAAGTCCTTCGACAGGCTCCAACATCGGCACCGACGACTCGCAGCCGTCCTCCAGCAGCACTGCTGGCGTGTCTCCGCTCTGGTCCAAATGCATCTGCGTGCTGTTCACAAAGCCCTGGCCGTTTAACAATATACCCGTTCCGTTCACCAGGTCCGGCGGAGCCACGGGGAAACCCAGCTCCGTGGCCCCCGCGGCCTGGAAGAGGCTGGCCTCTCCTCCCCGGGTGGTCGGGACGAGGATCTGGACGTTGGACTGCTTGATCACCTCCTGACATATCTCGATGACGGACCGCATCAGCAGAAACTTGGCGGCCGTCATCAACTCCGGGAAACACTCCAGCCGAACCACGATCCTGGAGGTGTACGCGAAGTCCAGGATGTCTTTGAAAACTTTCGGGCTGATCGTGTGCATCTCCAGCTCCTTGGCGTCGCCCTCGCCCTCCGTCTGACGGCCGAACACCGACTCGAAGTACTCGCTGCAGGCGGCCAGCACCGCTTTGTGAGCGGGGAAGCTCTCCTCGCCGACGCGCAGGATCACGTCGCAGAACCTGCCTCCATCTTTCCTCTGAACGTTGAGGTTGTGTAGCATCTCCGCGCTGTGCTTGCTCACCTGGTAGGTGTACGAAGAGGTCCAAGACGGCTCCGCTACCTTCTCCATACCGAATTCATCAAACAGCAACGGTCGCTGGCGTCGACCGACGGAGAACTGACAGATTACGCTTTTACGGTCTCGATCCACCGAGGCCAGCTAGCTAGAAAAGCCCGAACCAGCCGCCCCTCCCGTCGCTTTAGCATCTACCGTTAAACGTTAGCAGCAGCAGCAGGGGAAAAATGGCAGCCCCCCAGCTTCCTGTGAACTTTGGCCCTGCTTTCTTAAAAGGGTGGGGGTCGCTCTTGTTTGGCTTGTAAATGCTCGTGTAGTTTTATACCAGCTGAACATATTTTCATGTTTCCTGCTTTCAAGGTTGGCTGCTTCGAGGCGTTGCACCGCGGGGGGATTTTTTTTTTTAGGTTTTTCAGGTTGAACATTAGCACGCAGGTCTCTGTTCTTCCTGTGTGTTTTTTTTAAAGCACCTCCCCCAACCAAACTGACCCCCCTCCTTCTGTCTCTACTGACGCCTTCAAAATGAACACTGTACCCAATTAAAAGCACGTAGGAAAGATGGTGGAAATAAACATGCTCACATTTGCACTTAAAATAGCAACATATGCATGTTATAGAGTTTTACATTTTAAGTTTATATTTTACAAGTGGCTCCTGAAGGTCGGTGTGAGATATTAGTGTGGGGCTTGGGATGATCTTAAAATTCAGAAATGCTTTTAATGCCGAAGAGAAATTAAGCACAACTCGTTTTTCAAATAAATGAAAATGCATTGTTGATTAAAACACTTTGAAATGATGTTCATAATTGTTAAAAGAAAAACAAAATTAATAAAATGTGATTGAACTGTTGTAATGGAGTCTATGCAAAATAAATAAAGAAAAAAATTTCCAATGTTTTCTCAAGTTCATCAAGAACAGATCACACCTCAAAACTGGCTAAGTGACCTTTGAGGCTCATATCATTGGTGCCCTGTCTAGTCTATTCTTGAGTTGATTTCAATTTGACCACAAGGTTTATTTTTGACATCAGCCTACTTCATATAGCTGAAAAGGTTCTGTTCAAGTTTTACCATTTCCTTTTATGGGCCCAGCAGTAATCATAGTCCTGGCGAGTGAACCTACAGAGTAAGTGGATTAAACTGGGAAGTGAATTATTTCTCCATCTCTGGTTTCAATAGCTTTTTTAAATCACCAAATAAAACAATTTGAAAACATCTCATATTCATTGCAATAATCTGATGTTTGATCTGAAAATATTAAAGTGTATGTGGTTAAATAGAACCTGATACTGCTTGCCACCTCTGTATAAATCAAATTTCCATTGCTGACCTACATGAAGTTCCTTTTATTCCCCCCCAACTGTATTACCAGTAATTCTAGTTCTCAAGTTTCTGTAACAATATTTAAATCAGATTGCTGACAATTAAGTTTTAGATGACTGCTGAAAGCCCCATTTTCAAAAGAGGGTTAATTAAAATATTTCTGGCTGGAAAGGAGCTGGTAGAGGTTAACATTTAATGGCCCAAGCACACAATAAGCCAGTTCCAGAAGCAAAATTATTTCAAAGGTTTGAAAGGAAGGGCTTCTCTACATCATGCAGTTTGTTGTGTCACAGCAAAGTACCATATGTAATCCTCAGCTCAAGCTGAATAAACCAGTCAACTTCACTGTAGACAAACACATGTTTGAACAAGATTTGAGCAAGTGCAGTTCAAGCCCTTTGATTTGAAGTCAAGACTCAAGGGATTATGTGAAAATGTACAAACAGGTGCTTTAAGAACAAACCAGTATTAAAAAAAACATTTACAAATTGTTTTACTCAAGTTTTTATTTATCAATTCTATTTGTGCTTTTTATAACTTAATAGCACATAAACTGAATCCCAAACACCCTCAAATGACAGTGTGAGCAGTGTTGAATTCTTGTGACACTGGACTGGAGAATACAGTGGAAGAAATTAAAGGGAAACAGGGAGTGAGGGGGGCAAGTCCAAATAAAGAAGAAGAAGAAAAAAGAAAGGCACAACCAGCTTGTTGCATCCTCCATCAGCGTCTTGCTATACTTAACCTCTTCTGGGAAATAGCCACTAACGACACCTCAAAATATGGAGGAGTGTGCACCAAGTAACTCACTTCTCCCCAACAGTGGCCCTTTCTCATTATCGCAGGAGGAGGAGGTTAAGGTGGACACTAGAAAGGAATGCTACCAGATTCGTTTCCCAATTCAAGTTCAACAACAGGACTATTTCACACCTCCCCAGAACAGGAGGGAAAAAGAACCAAAACTACAGCTATATACACAGAATAAGATTCTCTCATGGTCTGTACAATTGAGCCTTTACATTATTTACTAATAGAAAAAAAAAGAGCTGGCAACATAAACCTCCACTCATCTGTTCAAACAAAACATTGTTGCAATGTCCCACAATGCGCCATCTTTCAAATTAAAGTTCACATTGTCATGGTAAGCAGGTGGTGGTGATGGGCAGAGGGAAAATTCACTTTTCAGCTAATAATGCATTTTCATTATGGGTGGAACTCCAATTCATCCACACTGATGACTTTAGCCGGCATGGAGGGCAGTGGCTGCTCTAGCACGTCCGAGCCAAACCACTTCGCCAGGCCCAGCGGGGGGCTGGCCCCATGTCGCTGGGAGCCGTTTGTCCGGTGGAGGCCTTGGCTCTGAGATGGAGCGCCTGGTACACCGGGATGCACTGCAACAAGGAGAAAAGGACTTAATGCTTTAGAGCTCCATGTTTTGTAGTCTTTCAGAAAACTGTAGCTCCAAAAACCAGAACCAGAGGATCTTGGACATGTTTTAGCACATGCAACTTCTTAACTTACTTTGTCTCTGCCCCTGAAGCTGCTGCTGCATGACCGCTAACTGCATGGGAGTATTTGCTCTGGGAGGTAGAAGTCCTGTTGCACTCAGTGGGTACAGTGGTTGTCCCAGCAGGGCCGGAGGTAAGCCTTGAAGTTGTGCAAGGTCAACATGTGGTGGAAACATACCTTGTGAGTACAAGCAAAAGCAGTTCATAAACATCAAGTCCAAAAGTGATTAAATAGAAATAATACCAGCGTTGGGCTGGAAAAAACCACTAACCTGCTTGCATGAGGGCAGGTCCGAGCTGCTGGGGCGGGATCCCCTGTGCTAGCATTCTCTGAACCACATTTGGGTGGAGCTGAGGATGGGGGCGCACCATGGGGACATGGGACAGCAGTGGTACCGGGTAGATGGGACGAGGGAAGGATGAGGACGGACCTTGAGGTGCCATTGGAGTCATGTGATGTCCAGTGGAACCAGGTCTCAGACGCTCCAGGTCTTTACTTTGGATGGTTTGAGGACTTATCTTTGCTCCCACAGATTGCGAGACATTTCCGTCCACTGACCCCAGTAGGTGGTTTGGAGAGCCTGAAAGCACAGAAAAAAACTCTCAGCATCACATCACCGTTAGGACAAAGCGTAGGCAAGCAGCTGCCCTGTACCATCTTGTGAGTTTGTGGTCGCTTCTTCTTTAGCCTCTGGACGACTCGACTGTTCGTCCTTGCTTTTCTCTTTCGTTGCGTACATTTTACGGATCACAGATGTGGGTGTAAATGACGGGGATAACTGCAATTGAAATGCATAGAATAAAGTAAGACTACAAGCACATACTTTGCTTTAGAGGCAATAAAAAGAAAAAAGCTTTTTACAGAAAGGTTTATGCTCACCATGCTAGTGACTGGATTTCCTGGGGAGTTTCTTCCAGCAGGTTGAGGTCCAGGGGAGCGATTTACCCGCTGAGGCCTATTGATCATGCATTTATAAATTAGGAAAGTTCCTTTTAATTCTGAGCTGTAACACTCTCAGTCAATCCAAATCATTAAAGAATTTGAAACTTGAAATTTGACCAAGTAAAAGGGAGATTTATATTCAGAGAGGTGTATTGGTTTTCCTTTTAATAAGCTCTAGCTTAACAAGGGTCGACAATAAGGTGGGGGGCAGACGACGAAGGTTATTCTTCCACTTTTAAGATTTTCTTCGCCTGACCTCCATGTTATTGTTGAACACCCAAGACAGGTTACGGTTCTGAAATGTCACGGTACCAGAGGAGAACGGGCTCATTGTAGTTATGGGTTTATTCTTCCTTAATCTTTGTGGGGAGATTTTTTTTTTCCTTCAACACATTTGAAATGCTGTTCACCATTTGCAACAAATAACATAGTTCTGGATCACACCATAATGTCTTTGTGAGCTGCATTTCTCTGAAAACCCCTTTACTTTTTCTACATTTCAGAATCAGTTTAAGACTTTTTTTTGTGGCCTAATAAGTGCATTTGCAAAAGAGCAAAAATATTTAAGAGGATTACCATCACATTAGGTTAAACAACCCCCCCGTAAAATCACATATTCAAGCTAAATTAAATTACTTGCCTATTTCTGAAGGATCTGTCCTGCAGGTGTTTGTTGTAGCCTGACTGAAATGAAGGGTGGCCATGGAGAGCAAGGTCCTGCTGGAGAGTTAGGACTTCCAGATCAGCTTGATTTACAGGTAGTGAGAGCGCCCTCATCTGGGGAAACAAGTTATATAACCCAATCTTTAGAATAAAAAAACAAACAAAACAAAGCTATTGCACAATATGGAGACTTTGTTGACAAGGTGACTGTAGTGAGGAAATTTATAGAGCAAAGGTCAAAGTGATTCTGATTTTATAAAATAGATCAATAATGCAAGTGAGTAAAATTCAATAAAAAGACACTAAAAAGAAAAAGACAAAAAACAAATTCAAGTCCAAAATAAAAACCAAGATGATTGAAATACTGCAATCAATGAAAGCCTTTTAAAGTTCTTAGAGAAACTTGTTCCACGCCTCCTAGTACAAAGTGAAGTTTCATAAATGCTCAGCTTGTTCATGTCTATGAATCCCAAACTCCTGCCAACAGAACAACCAACCTGCTGCTGAGAAGGACTGATGGACCTGTGGATGTCAAACTGTTCTGGCAGCAGAGACTGGGGACCAGCTGGAAATCCTTCAGAAAGTATTAAAAATAAAATTGTGTCCAGTTTAGTCAAAGAAAACATTTAATAAAACCACAACAAGCAAGCCTGAATAATTATTTAGAACACCAACCTTAGAAAGTACAAGTAATGTCTGTCTGTCTTTTTAGACTTACCTGCAGAGGGTGGCATTCTGTTATTGAAGTAGTCAGGTGAGGGGGCTCGCTGTGGAAACAGAGGGGGTGAGGGG